GATGAGTCGATGATATCACCCTGTCTGGGTGTATATACGCGAACTTGTCTCTCAGTTTTTGAGATATTGATCTGAATTTTTGCACACATCACCAAGAAGCTACTGGTTTGTCGGAATCGTCTCTATAACAAATATTGTACATAAGTATGTAGCACCATACAAACTGATCGATATAAATTCAGTCTTTGTAAAGAAAACTTTTTTATTTTACGAGATATCTTCACAAATTTGGCATGGATTATTGTCCAAAAACAGCGATGCAATCTCAGAAGAAATTGTTCGGATCGAACCACTATAGCATATAGTTCCCATAGAAACTGACCGATGAAAATTAAGTTCTTTTATCGAATCCTTTGTGAAGAGTGTTATAGCTTCTGTGCAACCGAAGTTAATATTTGTTCTAGGTTTTAGAAAAACAAGTTAATCATTTGAATTTTGATATACTTTTTTCTCTTAGTGCACCTGCGGTATTGCTACATGCCACAACAACTGTTGCTAACAATGTCGAACACCTGTTCGCCAGTTGTAGTGTAGTTTTACCAAATTGAAGACATACAAATGGTTTGGGTGGGTTTTTCGCTTCGTACTCTGAAAGATTGGTTTATAGATAGCTTTTAGAGAGGGTCTCCAAGTATGAGCTCTTAATCGTAACGGAAAGATCCTGCGCGTAACAGTTTTCTATTTTTTTCCCCATTATAAGATAAAAAATTCATACGTCGCTTCCAACTACTTGAAAACATATCTTGAAAAGAATTTTTTAGAGTACGAAATGAAAAGAATATATTTTTTTGACCCTTCTTCATATGTATGTAAGCATTTACTATCGTCGTTTAGCGTACCACCTCCCTCAGCTCCTAAATTGCTGCAAATTCAGTTGCTTGCTTTCATAAATGTGTTTGCTTCGATTTCTCGTACAATTTTGGATCTGCTAACCAATCTTTGCGGTGATTGCTCACTATTAATCGCAAGTGATCACTATGTACAAGTATGCTACTTAATTAATGTTAGAAACAGTCATCGACGCAAAAACGTAGACCGAACCAGCTGATATGACCTACCTTATGAGAGCACAATGTAAATGAACATTCACTACCGCTTCTACAGACCGCACGGTAGGGTATACGCGAAAATTGGAATTGGACAGTCAGTTGATTACTCTCTTGTAACGAAGGGTTACCAGTCTCAATATTTTGTAGTAATTAAAAAATAAACTTGAATATTTTTTAAATATTCTTAAACTATCTCAAAATCACTGGTGAATGTATTTATTTAAAAATCGGTAGACAATTTTTAATAGTTGGATTTTAGTTTTGAGCTTTTACATTATGAAAAATTATTTTAATTAAAAAAACTAAATGTGTGCAAAATCGTGTATACAAATTGAGCAATGGCAACATTGGTGAACCAAGGTATGGGTGAAACTTTTAGGTGCGGAACCATGCCCCCTTCTTAAAAAAATTTTAAACTGCAGATGCTACTCTCTAATGGGATTCGTTATTCCAAATAACAGTATTGTAGCTCCACAATAGGAGCTTAGTTATGGCAATTTATTAGAAAACCAATAAGCTAATAGAGTTTTGTGGGCGTGGCAATGGTTCGATTACGCCCGTTTACAATATCAACCGTTTCATTTTTACTCAAGTCACAGCTTACACAGACGGACGGACGGACAGGTGGACAGTTAGTCACTCGGATTTCAACTCTTCTCTTCTTCCTAATCATTTTTATATGTATAACCGTATATCTTACTCGATTAGTTTTGAATGATACAAACAACCGTTAGGTTATATTTAATTGATTTCGAGTATTACCACCACAGTACCAACCACAATAACTACAAGGAAATCAATTATAACGTTATTAGCAAACTATGAGTGACAAAAATGAAGTCCACCAACAGCGTGCTTATGTGGCAACATTATGTTGTAACAAAGGCTTGGCGAAGCACGTCGATGAACCAAGTGCCAATTTTGCTTTTAAAAGTAGTATGTGTATGTTAGCTAAAAAAAATTAAAAGAAATTTTTTAATTTCCTCAGTAAATTTAATTTCGTCAGCATGTATTGAAAATGTGCCTGCGTAATTTTTAATTTCAGCAACAAAAAATGTATTATAAGAATTCCCTATAATCAGGACGAAAATCAAAGGAAATTTTTAATTGCATATTAATTGATAAAATGAATAAAGGACAATCACAAACAACATCTAGTAAATTCTTAAATCTCAGTGCTTTCTCTAAAGATAATTTTAAAAAATATGTTTTACGGGAGGGAGATACATTTTCCGTGCTATGACAAAAATGTCACGTGATTTGATCACCTTACGAATCAGAGTAACGTAAGAATGCTAGAGGGAGTGGTAAATAGAAAAATTTTAGGTAAACTGAGTATAAATCAAGGAACAACTGTTAAAACGATCAACACGGAAAAAAGTATTATCTCATTGAACCCCAACCGTCTAAAAAAACACCCGTTATGAAAGCAATACTGCCTTCACGTTTGTCGGAAGAACTAGTGGTTGAAAATATTTAAGGACAGAATGTAAGGTGATATTTTCCGAAAAAACTAACCCGAACCTCCAACTATTTCGGCACCAAAACACAATTCCTTAACTATTACGCAGCTCCATTGGTACTATTGTGGCATCCAGAAGGATGGAGGATTAAATTCACAAGATGAAGCTACAACAAATATTCTTAGAACTAGACTTTGAATATCGCTTACAAACTCTGCTATTTGTATTGCCTGAACCGTCCTAACCAGGTTTGACCTTGTCAGTATGATTTTATTTCTTGTCCTCTACCATTGAAACGGAAACTCTTTTGTGACTAGAAGGGTCGAGAGAAAGATTCTTAAAAATATTTGTAAACCTTTAAGATCAAAAAACAGGCTTTCAGAAGAAGTGATGAAAAATCTCGTTCTTGCCGACACACAATTACGACTTATTCATCGGTCTTAGGTAAAAACTAGGATATTTGTAACATCTGGGTGACACTAAACACCTCACTTGAAGGTGTTCCAATACGCTGTATCCGAGGCGAACTAATTTCTCATTTCTCAGCTAAGCCGAGTTTCTCAAGCACCGACAACAACAATGTGGGCAACAATTGTTTTAGATGGTGAGGCAACATCTTTTCACACAATTTAATAATTGTGGCACTGAAGTACAAAAGTACATTCGTGACAATTATTGATGCAGTGTGAGTAATTGATTGAAGCGAGAGCGCTACAAAGGAGGTCTACGAAGAACGACCTATAGCTAAAATCAAATGCTAATATGCAAATGTATGATAAAGTGCCGTTACATAAAAGAAAATAAGGCGTGGGTTAATTTCTAAGTTTATCATAAATGACGACAGCAAAACGAAATTAGTATTATAAAAAGAGAAGAATAACCCTATGAACATGCAGATTGTGTTGAATAAGTACGAGGAATTATGCAAGGTGGGGGAAAATTGTGGGTGAAGCCCAAAAGGAATTACACATTTATCTCGCAATGGATATCTGAATCTTGATGTTGTCACAGTTAAGCCGAATTATACATAAATTTCAACATTGGATGCAGAACTAAAATGTGAAAAACCTGTCAACACAAGCAACCAGCTACGAATAAACAACAATCATAAAAGCAACGCCCCACAAAACGAAAACCGGGGAAAAAAGTCGGCAAAAAAGTGGGCAATAAAAGCACGAACTTCGAACTTTCCTAAAATCCAACTTAAGTACGGCGGACTATGAGTGCTGGCGCTGTACCGTAGGTGGCTCCTTGACATATGTCAAAATGTGCCGAAATCAAATTCGAAACGCTTTGACACACGTCGACGATGGCGGCAGTGACGCCAAAGGCAAACACCGAGTTCGCTCGAAATGCTTTTGATGTCGACAAAGTGCATACTATCCATATACATATATACATACGCGTGCACCGACTGACTGACTGTCTACACCAGACATCGCCAACAAAGCGGAAGAGAAACTACTGCTTAGACGAATATGACACGATCAGTGGATCAGTCAACGGCTTTGGCTGAACGTCGTCGTTTTGCACTTAGCCGGGTGTTGGCAACGTTGACGATCGACCAACTAACTGACTGCCGAACGAATCAAATCAACATACAATAGTAAAGTGGTGGGAAAGTCGCTATTGACAAAACCACCAATGGTGTCCAACATAAATCATGGCAAGCGCAAGCACATGCGCCAGCCACACCAAGGGACAATGGGCGATACGTGCCTACGTTAGTACATACATATCTTGATGATATGCATACGAGTATCACATAAGTTACTGAAGCAACAACAATTTAAACAGTGTCTGCAAAAAATAGTCTGACTAATTGTAAAATATTACAAATTTACTTTAAAAAAAATCTTTGCCTAAATGAGTAAAGACTGAACTTTTCCTACACTTCCATATACTGGAAAGTAAAAGATGGCCTAATGAGCTCTTGTTTTTAATTGAAAAAGTAATAAAAAGTGTGACAAGTATAAAGGAGAATACCATAATCTGAGTCAACCAACTTGTAATCAGCATAGGTATATGATTCTTTCCATCGTAATTCATAAGTACAGTTTAGAACCCGCTAAACCATTTGTTGTTTTCTATAAAACTTCAAACTTCAAAAACCTCTTTGCTTTCTCCAAATTTGGTGAAATTTATAATGATCTATTGTTTAAAAAAATTCTAATAGAGATAAGATTGGAACCCGCCAAGAAGGATTTCGGCATCCTATTTTACTCTGTCCGACTACTTTTCTGATCCACTGTAAATAGTCGTATGAGGCGCCTACCAAATAAATAACACATACAACAATTACAACAATGTTGAATTTGTGTTGTAGACTCTCTTAGCTGGAGAAGCGCCACATTTTCCCATGACCATAGTTTGCAATTCAAATTATCAAGCGTAACTGGAACAAGTAAGTCTTTCAGCCCACCAAAACCAACACTCAATTTCTTCATACATATGTACCTTATATACCCATACATAACACAAAATTTGTCATGTGTTTACACTTTTTATTTTGCCACATGCAAATCTAGTAAAATTCCACAATAGATAATAGAGAATGGTCATAAAAGAATAAAGGGAAGATAGTTGCATGCAAATAAATGAAAACAAAACGAGTAACTCTGTTGTGCCTCAAATGCATAACTCCTGTTTGTAGATTAGGTGAAAGCCGCGACCCACATACTCGTCATCGCTGCGCACTGGTAATATAATTGGTCCCGCTGCGACGTCCTTAACCGGTGCATTTTGAGTGAAGTCGTCCGAAACGGTGCCATCGTTGAAACGCTCGCCGCAAAGCCGCACTTGATTCATGGCAATATAATCGTCGGGACAATTAAAAATACCAGCACCCGCTTGACCATCCGGCACCAAGTCGACTTCGTCTGAAAGGTGGTTAATATAATAAGAAGCAAGTGGTAAGAATATAAGTGCATAAAGAAAGGGTTCGTTTATCAAATTTTCAAAGTAAAGATAAATACAAATTTATTCCCGAGGGTCAACCCAATTTTGTAAAGAAAATTGTATAGTCTTTTTTTGGATCATTTTTGCGAGAACATGGAGTGTGAAATGTGCCGGAGAGAGCCAAATATAGCGAATACGATGGGTGAACGATAACTTTCGTGTTGTGTGCGACTAAAAAATCAGTAGCAATCATATTAGAATATGATGGTGTGTTATCGAGGTGAAAACTCCATGGTTTTTTTCCCACAAATTCGGTCGGATACGACAAATTGTTTCACATAGACGCCTCAAAACGGCTAAGTAGTATTATTAACCGTTTGACCTGTTGAACGAATTCATGGTGACCCATACCACGCTAATCAAAGAAAGTGATGAGCATCGCCTTGATTTTTGATCGACTTCGATGAAGTTTTTTCTGTTTCGGATCAATGTTGGTGCGCGATTGGCTAGATTGCTACACAGTTTCAACGTCATATTCAAAAACCCACGCCTTGTCACCAGTGATAACGCGTTTTACAGTATTCTACTACGTTATCAAGCTTCTCTTTTGCGTCTTTTGGTACGAGTCTAGCATTGACACGCTTCATATCCAAAACATTAACCAAAATGTGTTGAGTCAAGATTTTTCGACGACATCACGACCTTCGCTGAATGCTTTGTGCCACTCAAATACTTGTGTTTGTGGAAAGTAGACTCCCCAAAATAGTCCGTGGACGTGATTCCATTGAAAACACAATATTTCAAGCAAACTAGTGGTTTACTTTCTCTTTTATATGGTAAAAATCGGTAAGCACCCTTGTTATGTCGTAAACAAACAGCCACCAAACACACTAATGGAGATCAAACTTCACACGAAATTAAAATACCAAAAATTCAAACAAAATTGGTTTCCGTCCGCAGTTGAAATGGACCAGTCCGAGTCAAATTTGATCATATCTAATATTATAATATCTCTACATTTTCCATAATGGGATCAATTATAGGTTTCTGTTCATAAAGTAAAAACGGATACACTTTGTAGTACTGGTTAGTTTGAAGGTAAGTCATAACACCGCCTAATATTTTGTAAATATTTGTTACCTTCGTCTTTGTTAATGATTTGAAAATCCAGCTGTTCGCCACCATTAAGCTCGGTTTTATAACTAACAGAACACATATCCTTGGAGCGTTGTAGACAAATTACATAATTTAGATTATTCTGTAATTAAAATGTGGTTTGTAATTAAATAGGAATTGATTCGAAGAGAGCTTTACAAAATATGTTGCGCCCGCCTTGTTGACAAAGGCGCCGTCGGCGTCATAGTTGAATGACTTCACATCGCCTTCATTTTCTGTATAAAATTGCAAACAACCCTCTGGGGCCAAGTCTGTCTCCAGCTGAAATCAGGCAAACAATTGGAATAATTAATAATGCCGTATGAATGTTGCCACCTTTTTTAAAATTTTTAGTGAAAAAATAACAATTATTGTATGTTTATAAGATAAACAACTTGAGAAATCGATCGCAGAAGTTTTGAAAATATGGCATTTGAATATATTTTTGAAGAGCTGCTTTTGGCTGCCATCTTTTTAAGGACAACTGTTGCCGTAACCGAATTCTATATTTTAATTAGGGAAGAAAATCGAAGAATTATTAAAGACAAATACATATGTAGTTAAAATGCTGCCACCTATTAAAAATAGTTAAACGATTCAGAAAGATTTATTATGAATATATATATTTTGGAAAGCTACCTGATTTAAAAAAATGTAATTCAGATATACTCGTTTACGACGTACAATTCCTTCTTATTTACCTGCATTATTTTTATGTTGAAGGCACGATCTCCGTTAGCCAGTTTGGTAATAAAAGACAGATAAATTTTCCTCTCAAAGGAATTGTTGACATCGACATAAACTGAAATTTTAAGCGTTTATTATTTTTTAAACTCTTTTAAAGGTTTTTATACGAAACCAGTCGGGGTAGAAGCACAGTGAAGTGGTGAGCAAACCAGCGTCGAGGTAAAAGTGGAGTTTGAACGAGAGATGTTTCGCAATTAGTAGGGGTTTGACAGCTGTTTGCTCATGATCAATTTTTTCCGCCGATTTTCATTTTATTTGGAATTACAGCTTTGAAAGTATTGAAATTATTACAAAAAACGTTCGGAGAGTCTATTTAATCGAGAATGTAAGTACTTAAATGCATAGTAAGAAAAAAACGAAGCTCACGAAATATTAAAAATATTAACCCTTGGGAAATAAAAGCGGCACTCAATCTCACGTATCGACTTTTGCAAAGAGAAAAGAATTTAAGTTCGCAATAGAGATGGTTTTTAACGAACACAAGTAAAATTGTAAACGTATTATAGCAAACTTTGTCGCCAGAGTTCTCCTGACTGTTTTTGATACAAAAATATAACTTCCAGTTAACATATTTTACTCATCACTCCACTACCAACCAGACTTAAATTAAATTGCTTTTATAGCGCAAGTTTCTCCAGTACTCACTATGTTGGCCGGTATTAATGCCGCATAGAATGGGCACAACAAAATTAATGTTATGACCAGAGACAATGAATTGATCCTCCAGGCAGTCGCCATCGTTTGGGCGATTAATCTGTGGGCGAAAAGAGAACTTTATAATTATAATTTGCTACAACACAAACAAACTAAATAAAACTAACCTCAAACTGAATGAAATCCAAACGCAATTGCTGCACATTATCGCGTAAATTTATGATCAACACACAAATTAACATTTCGCGTACTGGATTTGGATAGTTGGGGCTCTCAAAGTAGACCACCGACTGTTTGGTCGTATCGCCACAACCGGTCAAAACTTTATTTTGCAAAAAAAAAAAGTATGAATTACAACATTTATTACAGTCTTTTTCAGTATCACTAATTCACACTCACACACGCAACACACGCCCACACCCTCCGCGCACGGCTCGGTCGGTATGCCACCTAAGCTTTTACACTCGAACTCATGATAGCAAGTACCCTCCAAAGCGCGCACGCGGATATCGATCTCATCCATTGCCACCGAACATTTGGTATTCTCGAATTTTATAACCTCGAAGAGGCTAAGAAAGCCCTTGCTTTTCGTCTTTTTGGTCGTATGTTGTTGTTGCAACAAATTAAGTTTGAACGGTGTGCTATGAAAGAGTGATTGCGGCCTTGTAACACCAATTTGTGGTGGTCTCATGATCGAGTTTAAGGCATCGGAAGCTTGTGCAATATTCGCTGTGACCAATGGTATCAAACTAGAGTTCACGGCGGGTGTTGCGACCAAAGCTGCCAATCTAAGGGGCGATTTCACTGTGCTTGTAACATACGGTCTTACTTGCGGAGTGCGAATATTTGAGAAAGCGTTGTTTAACAGCTCGGTGTCCGGCGCCTGCACGACGTGTGCCTCTACCGCTGCACCAGTTTCTGCCTTTTCCCCATCCGTGACGTTGTGTTTCGTTGGCATCAGCACCTGTGGCAATTTATTTTCAAGGAAACGTGGCATTTGACGCAGAGGCTTAAAACGTAGTTGATAATGATCTGATATATCGGTAAAGCGGTTCCATTCTCTCATCCCACCATTTAACACTTTTTTATTACTTGCCTGCGTAGCGTTAAAATCTCCCATCGACCAATGACTTTGCCGTGGCAATGTGACAAAATCATCTCGATAATTTCCTATCACACCCTGTAAGGCGGCGTAAAAGCTGAAGTAAAGAAGCCACAGTTGGTGTTGCATGGCTGTTCGTACAGTGGTGAAACGTTTCATCGAAAGCCACAGTCTAAACTGTTATTACCAGTAAACTGTTGGTCTCCATACACCGGATGATGCTTCACTCTTACGAAATTCTTAGCATAAATTTTCCCAACTCTCTCTCTGCCTTTGTGCGGCTCTCGTGCTTTATTGGAGCATTAATTGTCGACAAGTATTTTTCATGTGGCATGCGTAAAGCAAGAAAAACAATGAAAACAACAATGGCGTGTAATATAACCTTCACTTTTTATTTCATGGTAGGACGCTTTCGAATGTTGCAGGAAAACATGTTGCTGGAAGCGGCCTGCAACATGCCTTAATTTAGTATGATCAATATGCAACTACGCATAAGTTTAAGAATGGATGAAAAAATGAAAGTAAAGTAGAAAACAAAGCACAGCAAAACTTCTCGGTTATTGTATGTCTATTGGAAAGTACAATTTCGAGCGACGAGCTGAGTCGATTTGGCCATGTCCGTCTGTCTATCCATATGTCTGGCAGTATATATGTGAACTAGATCAGTTTTTGATATATCGCACTTAAATTTTGCAAAAGTTTTTTTCAATAATACACAATAGCATATAGCTGTCATTCAAACTGACCGATCAAAATCATGTCCTTGTATAAAAAAAACTTATTTATTTGAAAAGATTTGTAATTTTGAAACTCTTCAAATTTTGTTGGGGTATTCTCGAACTCTGACCACAAACTGTGCTCCAATGGATCAGTATGAAGTATGGCTTAAATGCTTTACCACGCTGTCTCAATCACACTTTTTCTTTAGTTTTAAGCCCATCTTTCAAGAAGTGAAAAGTTGTAACGCCTTACAGGAGACTCAAATCCAAAACAGTACAGCAGTTGGATAGTGACCACGTTGAACCATTGCAATAACATTTGTTGCATCGTTGAAATTGTTTGCGTAGATTATGTTGTTTTACTTAATAAAAACTTCTTAAATAGTGAACATTTTCAATTTGTATAAAGGATACTTTCATAGCCGTTGACTGCGTGTCACTGAAGAAGTCGCCTGCAGCTGTTGTACCTAATTTGCTTCAAGCGCGCTATCGAAAGATGATCAGTTAACCACAATGGGCTATCATCTAATAAATCTTGACATTGATCTGGTGGTTAAACCTATTAGGGGGCAGGGCCACGTCCACTTTTTAAAAATTTCAAACTGCAAGTTTGTTAATTGGTTAGTTATGGCAATTTATAGGTTTTCGTTTAATGGCGTTTTGTGGGCGTGGCAGTGTCCCAATCACACCCATCTACGAACTCCACCCGATTCGACCAAGGTTTTCAACTCGTCTCATGGTTCTGATCATTTATATACATATATATAAGCCTATATCTCGATTCGTTTTAGGTGATACAAACAACCGTTAGGTGAAAGAACTATTGTACACTGTAGCAACATGTTGCAAGCATATACAAACAACGGCAGTTTTTTCTGCGAATTTGTCCACGCTGCATACATCGTAAACTTTGTAACAGACTTTATGGCAGGACTAAGTACTATGAAATTAGACAGTTAGTTTCGTGTGTGATTTTTAATTTCTTTTAAAGTTATCTTAGCATCTCACCACTATTTTTTAGCAAACTGTCTGCAAATGTAATACTATTCAAAAATAGCTCGCATTAAATATTTTCACATGAAATAACATGTTTACGCCAAATAATCCTAGGGCTTACGCTAAATACTTCTCTTCCACTTTCCCTTGTGCATTTCCAAGTATTTACGTATTTCACTATGCAAGTAATTATGAGCAAAAAAAAATCTATTTGATTAAATCGTTAATTATTTTCCTTATCCACGTAAAGCAGGCAATTATAGTGCGGTCTAAGCAAGTGCCCGCAAATAATATTGAATTTTAGCATTAATTACATACAATTCAATTTATATTTATATTCACACATATTACCTATAATTAATAATCAAATTAATTGCGGTGCACTACCAGTATCAAGTTGAAGTTACATGCAAGTCGTGATGCGGTTTTATGTAGCTACGGATTTTTAATCATATGTATTATATATGTATATAAATACCCACATCCTTATGTAAGGTTTGACTAATGTAGCAGTTTGAAGAATGTTCATAAAAACCGCAACTTAAAAGAGCCAGCTGGGCAATTTATTAAAAAACAAATTAGTCAGCCACAAAAGAGCAGCATGAGCGAATAATATTCATTTCGTATTTTCCAAATCATTTGATCTTCTGGCAATTTCGAAAATGCATTTACAATTTATTGAAATCACGAATAATTAAAATTAAAAAATATTTTTAAATACATTTGTCACTTTTTTCCTGTGAAATTTTTAGCCTGTGTTAATCGCTTGACTTACAAGAGACACTTTTTATGGGGGTAGGGCAAAGAAAAACTGGAAAAGTTATTGAACCCAAGCAAGAGATTCTTTAAGGTTGATTCCATTCCTAAAAAAATGTTTAAGTTATTTATAGCATCCATTATGTTGCTTATCGTAGTCATTGAAAGTACGCTTTCTAAAATATTTTAAAATTAAACGAAATAACCTCGGTCGGAACAGTTTTAATTCCCCATTTATTTAAAATTTATTTATGTTCATACTCAATTGATGAGTTGTCAAGAAGATAGCGAAATGGCATCATCTCAGTATTTATTTCTTGACCACCGCTCTTTTGGGAGACTAAGATTAAAACATCTTAACTTTTACTTTATCAGCAACGTCGAACGAAATAACTGGTATTGGTATTAGTTGCCTAACCAGATGTTTAACGTGGTTAAATAAGTTCCTTTAGTTTAACTTCTTAGTGTAGTTATCCACAGCTAACCTACACGACCAAAGGGTTACTTGTAGACTTCCTTATTTGCTGTTTATGTGGGTCGATTGCTACATTTTAATCGATATGAAATTGCTTAGCTGTAAATTTCTATGTGCCACACTGTCAAATAAAAAATGTATCGAACGATGTGATTCAATATGCACATGTAAGAGGTGGTCCTTTTTCCAGCACCTCCTGTCATTGAACATGTTACTTTTTCTTTAATTGTTGTTCATATGGCAACACATTTACAACTCAATCTGCAAAACGCTGACAAAAGCGTAAATGCATTAATTAATCTATTAACAACAAAAGCTCGTCTTTAAACTGAAAGTTTAAAAAGAAATTTATAAAAAAATAGAAAATCACAAAAACTCTTAAAGGAGCTTACAAACATGCATATTGATAAATGTATATACTCGTATTTATTTTAGTGGTCAAAAAATACCTAGTAGTCGGCTAGACAACCGAACAATACATGCTCATAAAATAACAACTAACCGCGCAAGTTGTTGTAAAAGCAGCCGCCAAAGTCTTAAGCGTAATTGACAAGCAATTGAAATTAAATAGCTTTGCAACAAAAACATCTAGCGTATTAACAAAAACAAAAGTTATGTTGGAATTAGAAAGCGATTAGATGCAATAGCGGAGCAACAGCATCCGTGGCACCACATGTGGGCCGCGCTTGCGAGTAATAAATTTTGTGGTTGCTATAGAGACCCGTGCTGGATCACTGAGTACTTGGTAAGAGCAATTTTTTCTGAATAATTACTAAACTTAAGCGGAGAGGTAGACAAAACCAAACGGCTTCCAAAGTGAGGAGTCAGAAGGAAATTAAGTGATAAATTGTAGAAGAGTTTCCCTTAAATCTGACTTCATATACAAAGATTTGTGAGTGAGTAAGTGGGTTTCATAAGTCACGAGATAGTTCTGTGATCTACTTTGGAACCACAGTGAACTTCATATTATTTCCAATTACATCTCACTTCTTTTCGAAATGAAACGAGCCAAGGTGAAGGAAAAGTAAAAGGAACTCTTTGATGTTTCCAATTACATTAAAAGTAAAGGGGTGTATGATCCTAGTCATTAATGTTATTGCAGTTCCTTTTTTCGTCTAACAGATGCCTAACATTTTGAAAATTGCGGATTTAAAAAGTCAACTTGAGTTTGGATAATGAAATTCGTCAAATTCATAGCGCTCATCAAATTTTCTCTCTTCAAATGAACAGCCCCTAAGAATTCAAACATGCAAATTTTCGATAACAGCGGGAGACTCGATTAATTAAATGAAAATTATATATATATGCATATTGGGCAATTCACAAGCTTCGTCTTATGTCTTATGTCGTATTTCAATTAAAAACTACGACACTTGTGAATTAATTGTTGTATGTCATATTCTGTAATATTTTTTCACTTCATCAGCTGTTAGTGGAAAATTAAGAATACAAAAATGCCATAAGAAAGTGACAAAAATAAAATTAAAGCTTCTTTATGTTGAACCGCCGGCATTTTGGTTTACATTGCAACCACAATATTTCACATTTCTTCAACTTAATTTACCTGAATATCGTGGCTTCCTTCCATATTATTAAAGAAATTGATGAAATTTAATTATTTTATCAATTTTAGACACCTAAACGTCAACAATAAAAAAAGATAAACAGATACAGCTGATAGAACAGCGTCGTATTTCAATTTTGCATGTAAAACAACAACAGTGTTGATACGACGGTCATAAAAAAATAAGACAATATGACGATATGACACAATATGACACCTTGTGAATACCCTAAATATATTATATTTTTATAGTAAAGTCATGCAACTAGCAAGTCCTGAGTCTTCTTCTAAGAACAATTGCTCTGGCCTGGCAATACCACATGTTTCAATTTGAAAATGTCTTACTGGGCATTGTACTCATGCTGCAGGTTGCATGAAATTCAAATTATATGTGCATATGTATCTCTCCTGATTCTTGTACACCTACACATGTTCACGTGGTTTTTATCTTATTATTTTACAGATATAAAACTTAAATTGTTAACAGTTTAATTTAATCGAAAACATCGGTAAACACAAATGTGCATATGTACATGCAAACAAAAACCACTGCACTGCATAACAGCTGGATGGACCAACGTGAGCAGGCGCCTTGAGGAAAAAAAAGAAAATCGAATAACAGTATTGCAAAAAGCGGCGGCTAGTGAGTGGTCAACAAAAAGTGGCAAGTTTATCTTTATTATGCATCGCTTTAATGCCAACCGGCAGCAACTAACAGATAGACTTACCCAACTTCAGATGGGAAAGCGAGAATGCGAGTTAAAATAAGAAAGGATGTGAATTAGAGAAAATTAATAAGGCATGCAACAAGAAAAGTGACTCAAGGAAAAGAAGCAGTAACATAAAGCAAACACAAATTTGGTAAACATAAGTTAACGAATCAAAAGAGTATATTTATCTAGGGAATTCGAGTATCCTGCTTACAAAGGGTGATCCCTTTCGAGGTTCCCTACTTTTTTAAAGAAAAACACCCCGAAAATTCAAATTTAGTGGGGAATGGTTATCATCATACGAAATTACATTTTTTTCGGCATTTATTTTTTGAGGATTATCTCATTCAAATACTGGCCGCGGCTACGTTTCAGATGGTACATCCGTTGAGTTCATTTTCGATGACTCGTTTGAGAATTTCGACTGGTAACTGGCGAATTACACGCGTGATGTTTTGTTTCAAGACCTGAATCGAAGCGGGATTCTTTGCATAGACTTAAGACTTTACATACCCTCACAGGAAAAAGTCTAACGCTGTGATATCACACGACCTGGGTGGCGAATTGACCGGCCCAAAACGTGAAATTATCTGCTCACCGAAATGTTCCCTCAATAAATCCATTGATTGATGCGATGTATGGTAAGTGCCGACGTCTTGTTGAAACCAAATGTCGCCTAGACCACTAGCTTTAATTTCAGGCGTCAAATAGTCCTTTATCACGGCGCGATAACGATCGCCGTTGACGGTCGCTCTTTGAAAGAGCGGATGTATACATATTTACAACTGGTGCCACTACGATAACTGTCTTGTAGAAATCACTCATAACAATAAACTTAATGGTATATGGTGATAATAAAATGCTAATGTCAACAGTTCAATAAATAAAATCGCTAAACACTTGATAAAAAGCTAACAACCTAATGGTATAGCGGCAGCAGCTATATGATCAGCGGTGGAGATAGATCAATAGCAGAAACAAAATCATCAGCAACCAATAAATCAGCAGTAATAATCATGTCTATACTATGTTAACGTATATGTATATAGGTGGATACAGTGTATGTAAAGCAATATATTGAATTGTATGAAAGCAGGTAAAGACATATGTAACTGAGTTCTCCCGCTATCAGGGGTTAGGTAATTTAAGACACAACTAGGGAAGATTTTTATTTTACACTAGCAGATCACTCCATTTGTCATCCCACTTGGGCGATAAGGACCTCAAATACATTGTTTTCCAATAAGAGTGATATGATTTTCTTTCAAAAAACAACACACTAATTGTTAAGGTAATTCAAACATTTTTTTATTTAATGTGAAGTTAAATCGATACAATTAAGTTCTGAACATCAAATCATTCAAATGGCCTTCTTTTGCCGGAACGAATTCGATGAACGCAATTTTCGAGTACTTTTTCTACTAAATCAAGTCGTATGTCAGGACTAGCATTTTCAATATTGACTTCTAAAGCTTGAAGAGAGTCTGGTTTATTGCTAAAGACCAATAACTTCAAATAACCTCACAAGAAGTAGTCTAATTGTGTTAAATCACAACCTCTTGGACGCCATTCAATGTCACAATTTCTTGAAATTATCGAATCTCCAAACGCAATAATTCGGTTTTTGCACCAGATATTGTCAAGATCAACTTCTTCCAATTGCGGCCATAAAAAGTTCGTTATCTTCGATCTATATCGCTCTCCATTGACAGTTACGCTGTCACCGTCTTCATTTCGAAAGAAGTACGGACCGATAATTCCACTAGATCAAAAGCCACACCAAACTGTCAACTTAGGTGAATATAATCGTTGTTCATGAATAATTTGTAGATTTTCTACGCACCAGAATCGGCAGATGAAAGTGAGCCTTGAAAACCGCACGAAAAGTAAACATTACTAAATACAATGAAAAAAATTTACAAAAACACTTAGAAATCATATTATCCCTATTGGAGAACCCGATAGATGATGAAATGTAAACATCTAACTTTTAATACCATTTAATTCAATTCTGCATAAGACTGCTTCGTACGGAGCCACCTGGGCGAGTGAGCCGCACTGCACTTTATTTCATGACATTCACTCCCCTCCCGTGGCCCAATGACGCCTACATCGCATATTATGTTGCAATCTAACCGAGCGGGTCACCGTTCACCACGCGACTTTTTTGTAATACTTACATTTTTAAATTCGTAATATCCTTCGAATGGAATGTCCGAATCGAATAATTCAAAAAGTTATATAAATCGGTAGTGAATCAGTCTAGAATATGAAGAGTAGTTAAATTTGATAAGGATTAATACTAAGGTACACATTAAAAAACTTTTACAGAGGTGACATTTTATATATTTATTATAACTATAGTAGTTAGAGATCCATATACTATGGCGACATTTTTGTTAATTATATGTTCTGTAAAATTATAGTACATTATTTTGTTCTATTATTCATAAATAGCGTTTTAGTAATGAGTTAGGGATTTTGAAAATATAATATAGCCTATGTTAACTGGAGCGAGTGTAGTTTTGCAACGGTAAAAGAATTTTTCAAATCCGTCAAGTATCAAATCTTTCCTCTTAATAATATTAGTATAGACTGAAGATTTTCTAATTCAAATATCGGATCCATGAATTGAGGTTTTAAAACCCGTAAGACTTACGCCGGAAAAGTATTTTAAAAATCGTAAAAATTAATTTTATGTTGAATGAGGTAAACTTACATCTACATCTGGCGTACGAGCGATTTTTAAAAGAATCCGTAGACTCCCTTGTAGCCTAAAAATATTCAGATATATCAGCTCCAGCTTTCCAGTTGGAAACCAACGTTACATGCATGCTGTGGTGGTGACCATAAACCCGAAAAAATATTCAAACATCAAATACGATAAAAATGCCAGATTATTTGAAACTCCGATTCAGTAGTGGTTCCGACAATCAAGACTCGCTAACAATGACGCTTTGGAGTTGATTTTCGGACTTGCCTGTATTGAGGGAAGTAAGAAAGAGCAAGGAAGGTATATAAAACAAGAAAATAAATTAAGACGCAATCGAAAAATATGAATATAGAATAGGAGAGCTTTTTAAAAGAAGCTACCGTCAATACCCATACGAAAACTCACAGATTCGGAAGTGAAATTTCATCAACAACTACTCGGGCTAGCTAAGCATGCGATAGTTAGGAATATTTTGATAGAGTATGAACCTTTCATCTTGAAAAACAAACTTAAAGCAAATGAATGTTGCTTGCACAGAACCTCTTTGCTTTCAGTGTTAATACCGTTACCATTCAAATTCCCATAAGTTAGCAGTCAAAGTAAACTATTCTTACCCGAAAAATTACTATTTGAGTTTTAGATTGTACATATACGCGGATTGGCAACTGAAGTTCATAATTTTCTTTGGTTATCTCACAGCTTAGGATAAGAGTAGTACCATTATAACAAAAATCAGCAAAGTACTTCATCACTAAGATTACTCTGGCAATTAGACGCTGCAATTCCAAACACAGAATGGATGTCAAATAATAAAGTAAAAATGTGCATACCTTGTAGCAGCAATTATTGGTCGCATGCAGATTTTTGTGCCAGCTTAAAGTGCAAGCTGGCGAATGAGTTAAGGCTGTCGCGACGCAGCTTCAATGAATATGATCGATTTATTTTTTCCAACTGTCAGTTTGGATTGTCTGACAAGGAAATTAATTTGCAAAACGCGCCGAGAGAGTGACTGCGTCTAAGCGAAGAAGACATAAAAATAAAATAAATTAAAAGAAAGAAAACTGCGTGCCACATTGATTTTCGTTGCATCGTAAAATTAATGAGGCAACTCATTAATCATGCAACTTAATGCTTTCACATGCAACATAAGAGGCGGATTCTCCTTCACTTACGGGTACGTGGCGGCTGCCACGACTTGCCGTGGCAATAAGTCAATCTCGATAGTTGGATTGTCTGCAAAGTGCGTGGCAGCGCTTCAGTATTTATTTTCAATGTAGTATATACATACGTACATAGATATTTATGTATGTATATATGTTGCATGCCACACGATAACGGCTACGGCAATAGCAGCAACATGCCTGAGTGCGTCGCACACTTAATAGCTCAGAGTGATGTTGCGAATGTGCGCAAAACTTACTATGCAACAGTTCAACTATTTTTGGCTTCAATCCTTGCTATTCGCTCTTCTCTGTATCGTTTTCTTTTTGTACAGAGAACATTTTATAGAAATTTTTTTATGCCTGCTGCTAACCTTTTGACCAAAACTTGTAGCTGCCGTTCACTTCTTACAGCTGTGGCAGCTACGCGTAAATTCCTCAACAACACTTCTAGCCGGCTAGTTAAACGATACATTATTGGTGTTGTACTCGACAAGCGAAGAAGTAAAAAAATTAACAATATTTTCGATGTTCACATTTACAAGTCATACACAGAAAATAACGGAGCAAAGTTTGAAACAAATGTGAGCTTAAAGTTTTGTTCCTTATTTACCCTTATGGTTGTTATGTTCTTCATGACAAAACACAACCTAAATCACCAACTAAATATGATGTGTTGCCCTATAAATGTAACTATTATATAATAAGTTTTAAGCTTCCTTTGAACAGCGAATGTACTTTATAAAAGCTCTAAGATATTGAATTTATCTGAGATTTTGAATTAACTGCCGGAATAGTTTTAAGTCGTTATTGTACCCAGTTGGTAGTGATATACTTAAACCATTCTCGAACGGCTGCTTTGGGACAATTAGATAACAGAAGTCATAGATAGACGTAGAGAAGCCGATAGTTTCTAGTTGCACACGCTAATATGGTGCTGATTTCTGTCTTCTACCTAGACATCTTACATATTGACTGATATATATGACATAAGGCCAACCGGAAGTTTGAAAATCTCATATTCGATATAGGAGAGATTGGGGTATATTGACCCGATTTGATCTATTTTGGCAATATATCATACTATTAACAGAATAAAATACTCCCTGAGTTTCATTAAGGGGTTAGGGGTAGTCAGAGGCACGAAAAAATTAGAATTTTCAGCAATTTTATTTTTAAGCTATTAAATCATGTTATTTTACAAAAATAGTAATGTGGCATTATTATACAATGTTTTGACTTGAAGCAACGAAAATTTCAAAAAAGAAAAAAAATTAATTTCCAAAGTTATAACTGTCTGTGTTGACCCAGTTCCAAAAAAAGTCCTTGCGGTGACATTCATAAGTCCTTGGAGATTCATCTAAAATCAATCGGATAAAAAAATTAGTTTTATAAATAGATAATCCTGGGCCTGATCGAAGACTTTTTTGTTTTTTCACAAATTAACAAAATGACGGCCTCAGGAAATTTTTTTCTAGATTTTTGGGAAAAAATCAACAGTTAAATGGTCTTAAAGAATCGAAGTTTTTGAAAAAAATCTTTTGATCAGGCCCGAGTTTATTATGTATTCTAAAACCTGTATAAATATAAATTCATTAAAACAAAGCTGTTTTCGAGTTACAATTGTCACACGTTCAAAAAACATAGTTTTGCGAAAAACGCATTTAAAGTTTCACCTACCAGCTCCCGAGCGCTTTGAAGTGCCCGAGCGCTCTTCGTTATTTGTCGAATAACTCAAAAAGTAATTATCGGATCAACTTGAAATTTTCAGAGAATATTTTCAAGATATTACACTTAACGAAAATGCAATGAAAAATAAATTATTTTTTGAAAATTCTGACTACCCCTAACCACTTAAGGTACTTTACATACCATCACCAACATTTTACTCATTTTAGGCATAAAGGTGAAGCATTATAAGGAAAACATATCACGTAATTTTATTGAAATAGCTCACATATTAGCCGATATATGCGGTATGAAGTAAACCGGAAGTTCGAAAATATTTCGATAACCTATATGGGGGATTCAAACCATTTTTGACATACTTGCATACTATTATCAGAAATAGACTTTCTCCAAATTGCAATAACATATCTCACAGATTGACCGCTATTTCCGGTAAAAAGTTAGCACCAGGCACTGGGGTCTCCATATTCCGTAACTGGAGGCTTGAACTGTAAAAGAACTAGGCAGCGAAGGTTCAATTCCAGTCGATATACCGCAAGATAACAATTTAAAATTCTAGTCAGCAAACCCCAGGCAAAAGACAATGCAATCGTTTAACGATGGAACGTAACATCAATTAAAGCAATCGACAACTTTTACTTCTAACTATGGACATACATACATATATGCAAAAGAATGTTATGTTGTATGTCAGATTCGCCTACTTTAAAACGGCAAGCACTGTCAGCCGCAAAAATAAAAATACTATAAATAGTTGTACCAAAAAAAGTAAAGTGGCAAGGTACATCATTTTGGTGTGGTCTTTAGAAAAAATTGAAGAAGTGTCGCCGATGGTTACAGGTTGTGTAAAGACGAACAAGTAAAAATGTATGTAACGGTGAATGGACAAGCAAATATTTATAAACGAAAATAACAACAAACACTAACACAACAGCAATATGTAAAAGGAGGTAATTGATATTAACTAATAAGCTTATAGCATGAATACACAATAATAAGTAAGGGGAGAAAATCATAAGCAAATAAAGAAATTAAAAGTCAATAAAAGAGGTACCTGGGTTTTAATATTAAATGAATAGAAGAAAGTTTATGCTTTCACATAGTTGCAGGGTCCTAAATTTTTAGCCGCCTCAATTGTTTCGAGCAATACTTGAAGCATAATTGCTTCTATGCTAAAGTGATCCGATCTAAACAATTTATTCGGAGATTGCAACATTGCCTTTGGCAATAATCCATGTCAAATTTCTTGAAGATACCTCGTTCAGTTTATATGGCAGCTTTGTGCTATAGTGGTACGATGTCGGCCGTTCCGACAAGTTAGCAACTTCTTAAAGAGAGAGGGACGGGTACAAAATTTCAGATCGATATCTCCTAAAACTGAGGGACTAGTTGGCATATATACAGACAGCTGGACATGTCTAAATCGACTCAGCTCGTCACGCTGATCATTTATATATTTACTATATAGGATCTCAGACGTTTCCTTTTGGGTGTTACAATCCTCCATGCAAACCAGGGTATAACTATAACACTTCAAACGATGAAAAATGTAAAATTCCAAACGTAAATTTGTTAGGATTGCTCCCTATTCGATTAAGTCAGCAGCCAAGATTAAGGAATTAGCCGAAGGAAAAGCAATCATTTAAACTTTTTAGTAAATTTCTCAGGAAAAAAATGGAATCAATGTGCGAAATTTTTATTCACCGTTTCTTGCTTACCAATAGTGATATAGCAGATGGTCTCAACTTTTTTATATAAATATACGTATAGAAATATATACCAACAGCGAAACACAAATAAAAATCATCTTCTCCTCACATCATTTCACAAATTGGACACCCTGTAACTCTTAGTTGCTCCTGTTCTCTACTTTGAAGAGCGCATGGTTCGTGTTTCAAATTTGAAACATTCGATAGTACAAGTAGATACGCTGCTATTAATTAGAATTAGATTTATTTTGAAAACGTTAATAAGTATTTCTTTTAAACAATCCGTATCTAGAAGATCGAGGCAAAGTCCAACCAATGTTTATGAGTTATTCCTTTACATTAATATAAAAAAACATTTAACTGAACAACATATACATAAATACCTGTGGTAACGATCCTAAAGAACACAATATCGATATCCCACTAAGCTATTCCGCCACGCATAGCTTATTAAAATGTTTGCAAAATAAATTAGCAATTGAACGTGCTGTGCAATGCGGCGCCTAAGAGAAAATCAATATTTTCAAACGTCAACAATCACCCTGGGAACAACCAGACTTAGCTTTGGAACTATGCCATATAAGAAGTTCAACACAACAACTTACCATACATATATGCAAGGGATTGATGATTGACAGCGAAGCGGATTAGAAGAGATGCACAGAATGCCACTGAACTTAAGTTTCCAACAGTGGTCGATAGACATTTCTTTCAATTGGAGCGAAATATTGATAACATCACATTTAAAGAAATTTTGTTAAAAATACGCATATTTTAAACTATTTTAGAATAAAGAAAATAAGGAAAATTCTTGAATAAAAATTGTCTAAAAAGTATTTAAAACAAGAAAAAACGTTAAATGAAAAAATTTGCCATCTAAGGATTTGATTCCGATCGTTCAGTTTGTATGGCAGTTATATGCTATAGTGAAACTGGGTACTAGTTCGCATATACTTGTGCAGACGGGCGGACAGATAACGGACATGGCGAAGTCGACTCAGCTCATCATGCTGCCCGTTTATACACGCATTTTATAAGGTCTTCTACTTTTCCTTTTGGGTGTTACAAACTTCGTGGCAAAGTTAATATACCTGGGTATAAAGATATTATACAATTTCAACTTTGCAAACCTTAAAATGTAAACCTGAAAATATATTTTTAAATTACTTATTACATAACATAAAACAATGACTTGCGAATTACTACTTAATTCACATCAATATAATTTCTAACTTAAAAATCTGGCGAGTCAATTTCTTAAGGCTATTGACGGTTGCTGCGTTTTGAGCAGAATTTAGCTAGATATAAATACGGGCCCCTTATAACTAAACATGCATATAGATCCGCAAAGGATACATATGCAACTGAAAAGTTTACAATATTATAAAGACGGAGATATAACAAAAGCTGACTAAAATCCTCAAGCTAAATAAACTCGATGTGAAATAGCTACAGGAAACTAGGGCTTGAGAATATCGGTCTAATGGCATATCCATCCGGGCATATTTCGATAATTTTTTTTATAAAGTTAGATATAATTTTCAATACAGTGCGAGCAACGAGCAGCAGATTGCTTTAATATACTGTTAGGTATTTTGTTGTAAAGTCGTTGCTTAGTAAATCCTTTGGCCACGTGAAAAGTCAATAGAGCGTTGATAAATACCTTTTCACCAACAGATATTTCAAATAAATCATCACCACAAAGGAGCTGAAGTGATGTGAGTACGAGGCGAATAAATAAATGGGTAAAATACGTGGCAACAATGCTAAGAGGCGTTGAGTGCGAGGAGCGCGGTTTGCACACGAGTCAACAGATTCCACTCGCAATAGGTGAGAAATAGAATGTTTATGCAACACAATGCAAAAACGAAATATAATAAAGTGCAAATGTGATATATTAACAACAAACAATAAAGGCTTTACGCAACAACAACGGCAACAGCAGCCAATGTGCCAAAGAGAGCGAGACGGAATTTAGTGTTGACAACAAAGGCCAAAGAATTCATTGAAATTTGCTATGAAAACATAGATGTGAGGGTGTAAATGCCAGCGATAGTAAGTGATGTTGTTGCTGTTGTTCTTTTCTTGCTGTTAGCCACTTCTCGTCACACATTTCATGCCTTGGCAAAAGTGTGAATTTTATATGCTTCGCACGCGGCAATTTGCCGTAATCGCCAAGTAATTGCCAGCAAACAAACAAACATGCGAATAAACAACGCCGGCGGCAGCAGCCACAGCAACAACGCTAACTGTGTTCGAAATCAACAACAACATCAACAGCAAGAGCAACCACAAAACAATAGCTTGACACTGGCAGTGACAATAAGCGGAAGTGCAGTGGTGCGGCAGCGAGTCTAAATTGCTGCTGCATTAGCCAAGAGCTATTGATGCAACGTAGCTGTGGCGTCGAGTCTGTAGACGGACGTGCACATTGCCACCGGATTTTAAAATTTAAAAATCACATACATATGTACAAGTATATACGGTTTATATATGATGAAGAGTACATTACTCTAACTCAATAGTTAAATATCCTACTAGTAAAATATAGAGGGTAGTTACTGATCCCATGACTTTGACTTCATATTTACACTAGTTGAAAATCATCAGAAGATTAATTTCTTTACTTTCTACATTGCTAAGTACCCAAATTTCAGAATATTTAAAAGGGGGGACGGCGGAATGTTAACTCGATCAGGTCAAAACATCTTTAGAAAGGTGGTTGCGAAACGGAACGGATATGCCGATATTTTATTGAAACCTCTCATACGAGTAAACTACATTCAGATAGAAGAAAATAGTAATTTGCAGGAGACTGTACTTTTTAATGTTATATATTTATATACTTTAAATGGTCAAGTTGCATACAGAGCTTTAACTTGTAAATTAATGGAATCGAGGAGATTAAAAATATGTCAAGCATCCAATGGTACCAAGTAGCTGCCACAACCGAATGAGATTACTACATGTTGGGAAATCTAGCTTCGAAGCTCATAACATATGAGTCATATCCCAGGAAACGCGAATCCGCTGTGAAGCCATCTAAACTATAAATGAAACTTTCTCTACTTCGCATTGGGAAATATGAAACATCAGAGAATGACGACAAAAGCTCATAAAAATCCGTCAGATGTTAAAAAGTCTTCCACAAAAGTGATTGAGTAGTTAAGTTCGTAATTCCGGTGACAAATCTAGACTCAAGCTCACTTCATTGGTTATACTAAATACATGTTCCCACTTTAGAAATCCTAAAGGGCTAAGGACCTCTAGCCACAATGGACCAGTGTTTCATTAAATCAGAATTTTTCTGTAGGTAGGGTTGTCATGGCAACAGCATCACCGACAGAAAGACTGGTGAATGTTGAAGGGTATTAACGTAAATTGCTGACAATGTAATACAACAACAAACATAAAAACTACATAATATGAACAGCTCAGTGCTAGAACAATGGCATAGCAACAATTGCCGGAGAACGAATGTGTGGCATTGGCAAGTGAGTATGTTCCTATGGCTATTGTTACACGTTGCACACTGTTATTGGTATTCGTCTGCTGTTAGCTGCTTTGAAACAAATATTTATGTACATACATATGTTTGAAGTTATTTTTTCTTTGCAAACTTACCACCGCAAAATAACCCTTTGGCAAAGAACTTCAAACGAAGTAGGGACATTGAAAATTTGTCGGTAAGCCAGCAGCAGACCTGAGAGTAGCTTCAATGTTGCCAATTTTAGTATTTACACACATATAACAACAACAACAGCAACAAAGCAAATGCTATATGCAACATTGCAACCATAGATTAAGTACGGTTAATGTTGTCAATCTGTGGCTTGCGGTGTTGCTTGGAACGAGCTGTATGAGAAAATTAGTAAAAATTTAGGAACAATAACGGATTAAGTGTCTGACAAATTGACTAATTTATTTCCAAAAAACTGAAATTTGAAAATTTACACTTTAAAGGTAATTTCAACTGGACTAAATAATTCATTCTTTAATTTTGTTGTAATGATAAATTATTTTAGTGCAGAAACCTAAAAATAGTATATTGCGCGTTCTCAGAAGCAAATATTTGAGTTTTCCGAGTAGGGAAAATCTAAATATTGTCAAATCTGGCATGACCCAGCGATGCGTTTGTTTTCTGTTTCGTTAAGAAGCATCTCTTTGGCAACCTCACAGGATTTTAATTTTGCAATAGATCAAATTTTTGGACACAAGCCTGGTAGAGATGCGATTCATATCTGTAACAATAACCAATATTTATTGAGTCGGCCGATTACATATGCTGCTATAGCTTTAATATACAGCGATATTTTAGAAATTGCAGCGGTTAAAAGTAACCGACCATCCATATAGAATTCAATCAAGTGAAACCACTGTGCACTGTTATGAACATAGTGCGAACTCATACTCGTATACTATATTTTCAGCACTACATTTGACACAATGAAAACCGCCCAGAAAGGAAGTCTCAAAGAGAGTGCTGAGTCAAGTGCAATACACTCTCATTATTCGGAAATTTAAGCTTACTGACTAACAAGTAATCACGTTCGAAGAGTATCGGTCTGCAGAAAATTGAAAATGAACTCTATCAGATCAAAACTTCTGATTTGAAAATTTAAAATCTTGTGAGAATTTATTTCACACTAAAAAAGAAATATTGAATATATGACAAAACAGACTACAAATAAGTGATAGTAGATAAAGTTTCTTTTCGGAAGACGTATGCTACATTCAAAGCTTTATCTTATAAATTTTTAATAGATGATTTTAAAGAAATATTGGCTCTAATTGATATCAAGTAGGTCGTCTTGCTCTGAATCGCAGACGAATTGGAATCTGCATTATTAAAGAAGGATTTGCTATTGTTGAGCGGCTACAAAATAACAATAAATATATATTAAGAACACCAGATTTCAAGTTGAAGAACACATTTTATACAGCGTTATTATTAACTTTTATTGCATGAAGGCTTCGAAAGTCGTTCCCTAACTCATGTATGCAATTACATACGAATATTGGTTATTGACCCTGCAGTTCGATACTAAGAATTTCTTTCGATGATAACCTCTAGATAATATCGTTTAATATTCAATTATACCCATGTACACATGAGCAAGTGTCAACTAATGTGCTTTACAACCTTTCAATACTTTCGATTTTAAGTTGTTTAATCGTAAACTAATGTTTGTTGAATGATATGTTGGAAATAAAATCGTTTATTTATTTATGTATAGTTTAAAATTCGTGTACTTGCTTAATTTATGGTATTTCCAAATATTATAACGTATATTAAAGATACGTTTAATTGTAATGTGGACATAAACAAGGTAGTTTATGTTTATGGCTCATAAATATAATATTTAAATGCAACTGTAAATAAATTTTAACGTTTTTATGTAAGAAATGTCAACTCTAATAAAAAACATGAATTTATTAAATACGGATGCATTAAATTACTTTTGAGCTGGGTCGCAGAAAACTGTGGTAATAGGTTATATGCCACAATAAAATGTTTAAGTGCTTTAGTTCATGTTTTCTTTATATATCGTCTACCAATAAGAATGACGTGATTTTGACAGCTTTATGTTAAGTTTTATCAGTGTATTCAGTAAGGTTTTGGTGCATCGCTTGGAAATTGTCACAGATTATTTTCACTTTCTCCGAAAAATCATCTTCTCGGATGAGACTTAATGACTCCGTCAACAAACAAAATTATCGCTATTGGGGTGAGTCAAGTTCTCGTGTGTTTCAGAAAACTCTATTGCATCATCATTATTTGACCGTTTGGTGCGGATTGTGGTATGACGGCATCATCGGGCCTTATTTTTTTCGAAATGAGGCAGGAAATGCCGTTACCATCAATGGCGAGCATATAACACGCTGTTGACCGACTGTTTTCCCGGAATTTGATGAAATCGACGCGAACGACATCTATTTCCAACAAGACTCACGTTACTAAGAACGGACGTATTGCGTGCAAAGTTTGGCGACTCATTAAATTCGGCGCCAAGATCATGCGAATTAACGCCTCTTGATTAATTTCTAGGGGGCTATGTTAAATCAAAGGTTTACTCCAATCAACCAGTAACGTTCGAGGAGCTCGATTGCAACATTCAGCGCAATATAGCCGATATGCTGCATTGGGTCATCGACAATTGGCGTAAATGGTTAGAAATATGCAAACGCAGCCGTGGTAGCGGTTTGGTCGACATTTTGTTCAAATTATAAACGGCATAAAATTATCTGCATGACCAAATTTGATAATTTTATTTTATGTTAACACCACGTCGTTCTTGTTGGTAGATCAATTGTATAACTAATCCGGAGTACTTTCCCTTCAATTTACAGTACAAATGAGAGACTAATGCAAAAATCGTGGTATAATTAACCCTTACTCAAGCAAATTTTTTATACTGACATTTCAATTACCACATTTGAGTCAAACTTTTACCCAGAAGGTTTATTTCATCAGAAATACACCAATACATTTCTGGGGGATAATAAAATCATTCAAAATGAGTGTTAATTTCCATACTATATATAAATATTTGATTTAACAGAAATCCTTTATTCTTCTTGTGTCAAAAGCCTGGACGAATATTCAATTTCCCACAAATCGCCAAAGAGCCACAAAATATATTATATATCTGAACTTAGTTCAGAATACCCACTAAATTTAGTCAATCAGGGCACAATAGACAATAGGTCGCGGTGCGAACCCTCATATTAATCTATATATCAGCTATAATAAATATTTGGAGAATTAATAACTGAAGAGTCTATGTAATCAGAACCGAAGCTTGGCACCAATTTACAATTGTTTGGGAAATATTCTGTGGCACTAAAATAACATCACAAGTAATTAGAAAAGGTATAATTTACCATCTTTACTTTAAAACTTCTTGGTCAGTGAAGGGTTGAGGTTGCCTAAAAACAACTTCATTGTGCCACTTAATGTTTTTGTCGCTAATCGCTTGCCAATACATTGTTTTATTTATCCATTGGTAGGTCAGTCGGTTAGTCCAACGCAACGGCGCCCACTAAATAATCCTATTTATTCTGGTAGTCGACGCTATTCAATAGCTGTAGCAAACCATTGTTCTACATTAACTGCTACTTGTTAAACTTCTCATTCATTTATTGTATTCCTATTATGTTCTTCAATTATTCCCTCGGAGCAAGGACAAAACCAAAAAGTTTCTTTGTTTGCTTTTTTGGTAAAAACAATTGACTATGCTTGTAATGAAAAATTTGGAGCAATGGCAACGAGACGATTGTGCGGTGCATAGTAAGTCACCATACCCCGTTAAAACGTGGTTGGACAGCAGTAATGGGACAATAGAATTGTTCTTAAAAGCACTTGCTCAATTCACAATTTAGCTTGCACGACTAAAAGGTAAAAACTTACTACACGATACGGCTACTTGTGACGTCTGGGCATGTGTGAGTTACAGCTTTCTTATATTTAAAATTTTTTTCAGAAAGATGAGTATTCTGAGCATACTTTTATGGTTTGTTGGAAATAGCTATTTCGCTACTGAAGCAAAGAAATGTTACCTGCAATAATATAGGGAGCAATAATGTATGTTGTTATTTATTTACCATGGATGTTTTAACTTGACTTACATGACGTCATAGCTCACCTACGTCTCATTAGTTGAAAGAGGATCGCCAAAAAAAGAGAAAGGTTAAGATTTTTGCGGGAGTCCTTGTGTTGTTCTCTGTTTTTTAAATGTTACCTCAAACTTCTACTCATTATAATCAATAAATCATTTAGTGCGTAGTTCACTTCTCTCAACAATACACAGTGTTGGAATTTATAGACCAAAAAAAAGAAATAAAAGGTCAGAAATTCACCACTGTAAGTATCAAAACTATTTCTGAAAAGACAAAATTAAATTTTAATATTAATTGCCGTGTTAATCTCTGTGTTTTTCTACAAACCAGTTTTGTATTATCTTGGTTATATGTTCGTGTGTATATATGTATGTGTACGTTTTATATTTTGCTTTTGTCCTTCGTCCACCCGCTATTGCCGCACTGTTCGAATTAAGTTTAAAAAGTAATCAGTTCATATAACGAAAAGTAAAGAAATATATTTTAAAAACAAAATTCAAGAATTGACTTCCACTGAAATAAAAAAACAACCAACGGGAAATTCTATATCGATCATATTCTTCAACTAACTATAGTGTGTGGCTTAGTCTGCAATGCCTTAACTGAAACCACATCTGCAAAGTGTTACATATGCCAAGCCAAAACTACTGAGATTTTTGAATTTTATCTTCACGTTTTTTATAGACTTGAAACCAGACAATGGCAAATAAGGGGCTTAAAATGATTTCTAAGAAGGCAACAAAATATTCAGGGCGACTTTCGTAAAAGTAAAAAATAGGTTTAATTGTCGACAAATCAAAAACAGGTGCTAGTGTTTATTCACATGAATGTAACACTGCAAGAACATTTTGCAATGACGCCTAATTATCAGCTGAAGTAACTGACAAATTGAAATTTGTCCAACATTATCAGCAGGGTATAAAATTAATGTGGACAAATTTAGAAATTTTGCTCTAGATACTGTAAGAGAACTAACATCCAAGTATTCCTGGTATTAGATTCCTCCTTCAGTGCATAAAATTTTGATTCAAGCTCGCTACCGAAGTCATTTAAAATGTATTAGTTTCAATTGGAGAGCTTTCTGAAGAAGCTGCTGAGTCAAGGAAAAAGGAGACGAAAATAGGGTCTTAGCCCCCATATACCTCATATAAAGATTTTCGAATTTCCAGTTGACTTTATACGACATAAATATAACGGTCAATGTGCTACTTATTTTGATGAAATTAGCGAAGGGTGTTTTTCTAATAACAGTGTATCCTTGTGCATAAAATCGATAAAATCGGACGAAAACTTGCCTTAGCCCCCATATAACCGATATTCACGATTTGGAAACGTCCAGCTGACTTTACTCTATATATATGTTTATATTTATAGATATATTGATAAAATTGCTTTAAAATAAGTTCTCATATATACCTGAGTAATGTCAAAAATTAATGCAATCAGTAATTCGATTTCTATGCCCCTAATGATTTAAGTAAAAATTTCACTGACGGAAAGTAAAATATTGTAATAAAACTAAGTATATGACCTTCAAAATAAGTTAATATGATACCAAATTTGATTGTAATCCATTCACCATTTCGTCGAACAACGATTACAAAACTTATCGAACGAAGTTATGCACGCGGCCGGTGAAGTTTTGCTAGTGACACGCTTTTGCCGCAATTCGCTGTGCAGTAAATAAAGATAACGGAGGTTTTTCTAAGTATGACTACTTATACTCATATACATACTTATGTATGTATGTCCTATGTGTAGGAATTAATCACTTAATTATTGGTAATGTATAACAATATAAAATTGCAATATTGATTACAGCTATTTAACATACGTTTAAACAACACAAATAAAGTATGGATTTCAAATAACTGTAGAATTACGCAAAAAGTATATTTTGAGGAATCAAAAAAAGTAAATTTTTAACAGGAAACACACAAAAGCCACATTCAAAAAAATCACATATAAATAACTTGTCTACCAAAAAGTTTACGGGGGCATTACTATGGATTCACTCCAACTCAGACGAAATATCAACACCAAACGAAATCGCAAATAACGATAAATGGGCGGAGGTGAGCACAGTAAGTACATAAACGACTCAGCCTATATTCCGTTGGCTCGAACTTGCCAAATTCTTACAGAAACATGGCAACCTACAGGATATTGGTTACCTGTAACTTTGACCTTCACAAACAGGCATGAGTTTGTGTTAGTATATAAGTTAATATCAGATTAGTAAATGGTTAGCAGGGATAATCGCAGTGTTGAATAAACAAGTCTACCGAACACACACGCCACCCCTATTCATCTAAGGAGGGTTGCAATGCAAGCGACACCCAGCGCAGAGTGGCTAGCAGCCGGTGCATATGGCTAACAGCTGCAAATGTCTTCTTTTCCGCCTGGTTTAACTGAACCTTGAACTTTGATTGTTATTGTAGACGTATCAGTTTCTTCAGGAGACGTAAAAACAAAGACAAATGCACCAGGTATTCTTCAATTCACGTCTACTCCTTAAAATATGCAATAAAAAGATGTTTCTTTTGTTTAAAAGTGTTAATGACAAATTTTCAAAACAAAATAAATTTGCCGCAAATAGCATAAAATCGCATGGTGAGGTTGGGTCTAAATAAAATGTTGAAAACAATAAAAATGCACACAATGATTTTTGCATATACCAAGAGTTTCTAAGTTGCCACACCACCAGCTGAGTTTTTATGCCACGAACTCTCCAATTACTTGCGTAAACATCTTCACTCCTGTATTTCTTTCATTTTTCTGCGCCGTTTTATTTGTTTGCTTGTGTCACCTGTTCGATGGTATCATCTGAGATCGGTAGCGTGTGCAACTCTTCATCCAATTCCGTCTCATTGGCCTCCTCTTCCACATCATCACAGTCCTCGTCGTCATCGTCGTTCCGCTCGGAACTTTGCTTAGCAGCTTTCTTGCTTGCACGTCGAAATACTGTGTGCCAATAGCTGGAGATGGAGTTCTTCAACGACTGTCGACTCGGTGCGTTTGGCATGAAGTTGGTGGCATTAGCGTGCTCCGCTGAAAGCGCAATGGAAATCAAAAATAATAAAAATTAAACGATTAGTTGATTGTATGATCATATTGTTGTTGTAATCATAGCACACAAACACACCGATGCGCGTTACGCCACCGAGGCGCAAATGAAAGCGTCTTGCATGCTCCCTTTTTGGCTTATCAAGCTCGCCATCTTTATCCGCTTCCTCCTTGTCAACTTCGTCTTTCGGTTCACCGCCATCTTCGGGCAATACATCACACGATCCGGTCGGCATCTCTTCGCCGCCGTTATGTCGTCGGTGTGTCAATTTGAAGAAACGCTTTAACGAGTTGGCCTTAGAGTTGTTCGCTTTGTGTGCTTCGCACGCCGCATCGCCACGTTCTTCGGCACCGGACAGCGGTATGTCGTGCATTGGCGGTGCTGCAGATATGCTTTGCGACATCCTTTTTTGTTTGTGATTACTTTTGTTTTATTATTGTTAATATTTGGAAATAAAATTTCAAGAATAAAAGACGATTTATGAGTTTTTTTGGGAAAATTTTAAAATCAATCTCAATACACAAAAACAGACAGATATTTCAAAAATATATATGTGCAGGCATTTGAAGCGAAAAGCGATTAAGTAATGATGAGAAAAATTGGTATGGTTAAAAATAGGCGGAATGAGAATCAGGCTTGAGTTCAAAATCGGCTATAACAATAATAGGTCTCACACAGGTTAAAATTTAAAATGAGACAGATCTCTGCTTCAAGGACATTGTAACGTTGTACTTGTATCTTTCTGTATCGAGCATTAATTATTGAGATTATTCAATCAAAATTTCAGTGTCACTTGAGAACCACAAGCAATCTGATAAAGTATGTGATGGAGAGCATTTAATCAAATCCCGCTTTGAAGTGTTGCATATGTAAGTAGTAATTTCTTTTCGTTAAATTTAAGAATACACATTTATCGAACATAAACCTTAGTTATAAAACTAGTCGTGAGATAACTTATATATCGCTCTCTAATGTTAGAGAAGGACTCGAAAATTAATAAAGAGATTTGACGATCTCAACCAAAACAGGCCATATTATAATACCCCAAACGGATTCTAATTCATTCGGCTATATAATGAAACTTTATTGGTTATTATGTACATATGTTAACAATCCTTGATGACTCTTGTGATAAATTAATGTTCGCCGTATAAGTACGATTTGATTCTTGAATTTTTATTATAAGTACCATATTTGGTCTACTTGTACATACATATTTTCCCAATACTTAACATATATTAACATACCTCACGTTTTGCCCTTAAATAATCGTTGTAGGCTTCAATGTTCCCTCGGACTCTTCATATTCGTTAAAAAGGAGGTTGTAAATTTATGGTTATTTCATAGTTCTATAAATGGGCGAGACTAAGTACAATGCTGAACACAAGTAACCATCATATTATTTGTTGTCGTAAATTTAAAGTTATATTTAATAATAAATGTTTTTAGGGCACTGTGGTGTCCATAGGTTTTTATGAGAAGTTGAAGCAGAGATCTGAAATCAAGGAACCTGAATTCACTTACTTTATTGTGCGCTGGGTAAAATGAAGGTCAGACCAAAACATCTACTGATGACGTAAGAATAAGAAGCCGGCAACAAATTGAAGCGGAATTGAAATGCGCAAGAAGGCAATAACCACAATGCGACAACTACCTGTTGAGCACTTGAATAACTACAACCCCCATATATGCGTCAAAATCTTCATCTATTCACGCCAACACACATCCAAAAGTGGACTGATAAAGTTCAAACAGCTGATAATGTTTGTAAACAAAGTGCTGAGACGGCGCAGTAAGTCGACAACTGCCTCAACGACGATAACACCAACACAAATGCATAACGGAAAATGTAAATATTTACAGCAACAAACACTTGTGGCTTTATACCTTTCCATATGGACGAGTATTTGTTTTGTTTATACACGGCAAATGTGAATGTAAACAAAGGGGCGGTCATCGCCAGAGCGCATGTCCTGCCACCAACAGCTGTTCACGAAGTGACGAAGAGACGTCGCGGATAGGCGAAGGCATCTATTGATTTTACGAATTGCCAAAACGCTTATCAGTGAAGTGAATAGCGGGTTTGTGTATCGCAGAGCGTTCCACAGCTCCAACTGTGTAGGACAACCCGCGACCCCTCCGCTTCGAGCACTTTCACTGTATAGATAACTGTCGTGCTGGTGGATACATACACGCGAAAATTTTCACTTGCGAACACTTTAGGTGGAGATTTTGGTAGCTGCAGTGCGTGTGTACGATAATCTTGTGAAAAATTGCAAATTTATTAAAAAAATTAACAAATTTTGAGGCAAGTCTTTTACTATTTTATAGCAGAATGTTTATTTTATTGTGTGGAATCAGAAAGTCAGCAATATCGTGTGATAACTGTGAATATTTTACTTGATATTCTACAGCATCCAATAAAAGTAGGGCGTAGTTGTTATATAATTGCGTGAAAATTTTTTATATAAACTCCTACGCTTAGTAAAAAAACGATTTTAAACGACAAGGAATTGACTATTTTATATTAATAATAATTTTATTTTAATAAAAATTTCAATTTTATTTCTTGGTTTTCGAATTTAACAGAATGCCAACTGCTTTGGGAGCGGCTTTGGCGATGGGAAGGATTTGCCTGATATAATGTCTGATACCTTCAAAAATCAGCTTGTCAATATGGGCACTCGCGCAGCTGCTTGTAAGTTGAAAATTATTTTAATACATAATACATTTAATAGTCAAATAAAATCTATATATACGAGTATACTTACCATATGTAAGTATAATATATTAGACCTTTTTCCTGCGATCTATTCCGAGCTTTTATATAATGTTTATACATATAAAAGGCCACACTATACTCGAATAGTCCAATAAGCCGTTGAAAAGTTTCTTAAAATAGTTTTACGTTTGCTTGAATAGATCTCTAGCGGGCACAGATCCAGCAGATGGTCCAGAGACATACATAAGTACATATATAACTTTATATATAGTCATATTGCGTTCATATCTTATACCTTAATTTTAAATATTAAGCCTAAACATTTATCTAATGGGTTAGACAATTCTTACAAAAAGTGTATAATAAAATTTGCTTGATATCAACCACTTTTGTCCGACTATTGTTACCAATAATTATCGAATTTATCTCTCCGAAATTTTTCTTATCTCTACAATTAAGTAGAGGTGTAAAATGATGGAAATTCACACTGCTTTTAACTTTAATGTTGAGCTATTTGGTCGAAGAGACTGAAATCCATATCGTAGTCTTCTTCTGACTCTGACTCTCTTGCTGCCTTCCTGTCTATACTAAAAAGTATTTGCCGGAAGTAATTTTAGGTAGTGGGTTAGGGGTAATTTATTGTTACAAGTAATCAGCACTATAAAAGTGAAACATATAGCAATTGAAGCACCCTTCACCTGATGACTGGCTAGACTTCACTTGGGTTCATTTAATTAGTCTTTTAAAAGTCGCAAATAATTAAAAGCGCATCAGAAGCGTTAATGACTTTGCGCCCTATGTATTTTAAATGAAAAGCCATAAATATTTCACTTTACACCAACACCGCAACTGTGCTAGACAACTTTTTTGCTGAGTAGTAGTCAGCTCAAAAAAACACATAAACATAAATAAGATATCACGAAATCAGACAATATGGTGAGAATCAGTGACATTTTTGCAAGGATTATAATTTTACAAGCTGTGCTCGGAGAATGTGTAAGTGTTTAAAATTTTGTAGAAATTTTGCTACTTAATTTATTTATAAACAACTTCTCATTAAAACCAAAACAAAACATTCGCCTTAAAAGCATGGTTCCTTTTTTAAACTGACGAAAATGGAATGTCGAGATGTCAATGAAAATTTAATGCGCGTCAACGTCTGTCGGCTCAAAGCTGTGAAGCGTGACGTCACCGAGGCAACGATTCGTTTGCAATTTCTCCAGCGTGTGGATAAGTGGACTGTGCGTATTATGCTTAACTATTCATTGATATTAACAAGGAAATATACTAAAATTACTTTTAGATACACATAGAGCTGCTACGCAAATACAACACCTATCAAACATTCTCGATTAATAAAACCTTCGATATTTGCGCTTTCTTCAAAAACCGAAAGGAAGCTGTCTATTTAAATATTTTATATAAATTGATAGAAAAGTATACGAATGCCAATCACTCTTGTCCTTATCAGGTGTGCTACGCCAATATCATATATCTGTTGCTTACTTACTAATTTTATTATTTTCTTTTTGCGTTGTTATTATTTCTTTTTTATAGGGAGAATTAATCGTAGACCGCTTTAGACCACTGCATGCTAATTTTATTTTGCCAATTCCCACCGGCGACTATCTACTTAAGCTCGTCTTCTTTAACGCAAAAACAATGTCTCTCAGTTTATTTGTGTGGTTTGGTTTCAAGGAATTGGAAAAATGGGAAAAACACGATGAATAAAGAGATAATCATTCGGAAATTTCTGGTGTCTGGTGTAAATTTTCTGCCCGCATGGCCTAATATTATTATCATTAAATTTTTTATAATTTTTTTTTAATACTTGTTTTTAAGCCGTGCTTAATCAATCTATTATATCTAAAATAATTAAAAACATATTAAATAAAGTGAATGAAGTAATTATAATAAATTATGCGCTTTTACAAAACAAAACAACAGGCATTTAGAACTAAGTGTGTGTTCAAATAACAGTGGATAACTACAAATGTCTCAATTAACTGAGAAACAAAACAAATAACAAAATTGTATAAGCATCGAACCGTTCTCTCATAAAGTAGATATACATGTCATCGAATTGAATTCAATATACAATATATGTACATACAATATACACACATACATACAAGTATATATATAATTTGTTTCTTAGGTTAACACATATTTTTGTGGAAATGCTATTTCACCGATAATAGCGACTTCCCAGCTTTTGGGTGTTTGTTTGACGATTACCCTTTCATTATCGCTAAGTTTCCTTCCAGCCTTCTTTTATGTTCTGAGAAAAGAAAAAGGGGTTATTAAGGCTCATATCCACTTAATGCGGAAGCAATCCGAAACCCGATATGGGCAAGTTTGCCATCACTTTCATTAACTCTGCTCTTTCCAAATTGATTTATGAATTCTTTCTATGTTTTCGTCCATAATAGCTTCCTTTTAGCATCCATTACGTCCATTGCCTTCGGTCCTCATACGATCTGCTCGGAATTCAGCAAACCACAAAAAGAAATTAGTGCCGAATATAGGCAACATATTGACATCTATCTACTAAATATCACGAACAGCAACAAATTTGGTCGAGTTAGAGATTTTTCCTTCGCATTGAATACCACTTTCGTTAATCGGCGTCCTTTTTCCCACCCATATTAAAAACCATGTCTATAAATTGTGTTGAAAGGAAGGTTGCTTTATGGGTTGTGTAAATCGGTGAAAGGCAAAGTCTCCGAAAAGTTGTCTTTGGAGTCTCACACTTACGTCACAACGTAAGATTACTGCACATATCACTGATTTTAACTCATATTCAAGAGACATTTTACTTGGTATGTAGTTAAACCCGAAATTATAAAATTGAAAAGAGAGGAAAATGCTTTTATTTGGTTTTGGACTTTAAAGCCTAAGCTTCAAGACTAGAGCACGTTTGGTGTAAAATAAATTAAAAAGAAAAGCAGCTGATGTATAAAGAACAGGTATAAGGACAAATATCAAATAAGTCGTTATTTTAAGAAACTTACTTACGAAAATTAATAAATAAATATTCACTTTCTCTTTTGTAGTTCAAGCAAAATTGCGATGTCTCCATGATTCGCATGTACGCCTGCTACAAAATACCCAACCCACGCCCTCTGGCGTCGATATTGCTAACAATATCAAATACTTTTCACAAACCCTACTAAGTAAGTTCTCCATAAAACAATGATTTTTCACACAATATTGCCAATATCTACATATATATAATCGTTTTTACGTAGCTGTCCTTAAAGATGTACGTACCTCACCACACGAACTTATACGCGACCCCTCCGAGGATCCCACACGCATGTCAGCCTACCCAAATCTCGAATATGGTAACCTTTATAATGCTCTCACAATGCTCATTGATGTGGCACCGTGCATACAATATGGACAAATCGGTGGGTGAAGAGTGAGATTTATGCTAGAATTAAATTATGTCTGTTTAAATAATTTCTTTTCTCTACTAATTTACAGTGTTTGGAAAGGCTCTGTTGCAGTGTCTTTGCTGCATACTACCTTTTCTAGATAAGGATTTAATTGACAATTTACCCTATCTGGTCAGCTCTACTATGTCTGTACTACCACCAGCTCTACACCAAGATATCGTTAATGCACTATGCTATTATATTCTACCATTCACTATAAGTAAGTATGAAATCGCAAACAGAAAAGTAAGGTTAGTTTTTTTGCCTTTTATATCAGCAAAGAAAGCCATAGCTCACAAGGTATTGTCCAATTCTCATTTTTATGTAAAAAAAAACATCATAAAAGGTCGGGCGATTAAACATTTTGGACAGGGTTGGGTACAAAGTTTTGGAGATTAAGTATTAGAGAGAACGCTTATTTATTTTAGCTTCCCTAAACAGCTTGTAAATATCAAAATATAAATAATATGATGGACATTAACCGTCAAGTTTGCAATCTGAGATAGTAATTGATTACTAATTTTATCCGACAGCCCGACGCAGCGCAGATGAACAAGAATGTCAGGCATGTCAGGCAGTATCTTCGGTCATTATGATGGTTCTTCAATATTCTCATAATCCCGGTAAGTACTGTTGTCATACTCGTTGTATACAAATGTTTTGATAACTTTTGCAATGAAACTTTGCAGCACACCACTGTCAACTGCTAGAATGTCTGATGACACTTAAACACAATGTTGTCAAGGATATACTTTGCGTTATCGCTTACGGCACCTCTATGTCACGCTCCTCAGCAGCCAAACTGCTTTTCTACTATTGGCCCGCTTTCGATCCCAACCTATTCGATCGTAAAGTTTTATTGTCGAAACTAACAAGTACGTAAACGTTTATTTCATAAGATATGTTATAGTATATATACTTGTATATAGTACATATGTACAAATAGTATATAACTCAAACACAATCCCACACCTTCATTCCGCAGACGACATGGTGCCCTTTGTATGTCAATGCGAACAATGCCCCAATGCTGGCAATGCTGAGGCGGCCAAAGTTTGTTTTGATCACAGCATCAGTATTAGCTATGCACCCGACTGTCCGCCCCCACTTTATCTTTGCATCGAATGCGCCAATGAGATTCATCGCAAACATGCCAACCTCGAGTTCGGCGACATTCTCCATCCAATGCAGCAAGTCTCTATGGTATGTGAGAATAAGAATTGCCGTTCGACCGATAAGGCAGCCTTCTCGATCTGTTTCTCTACCGAGTGTGCTAGCTATAATGGAAATCACCCGATACGTTACTGCTCGCTGTGTCACAGCAATCGACACAATTCGCGGCGTGGTGGCGATCATGTGGTCCATCGTAGTCTCCAAATTATTTGGCAAATGGATCCAGAGATACAGATGCACATGGTGGAGTCCGTGATTAGTTTGTTACGCGAGGCTAAACCGCTCAATTTCGAGCCCGGCAAGGATGGTTCAGATCCAAAGAAGAACGGTGGTACCGGTACACCGGATACCATAACGTTGGAAGAGCGTCAAATGTTGGGCCGTTATGGCATCTGGTTATTGGTGGGTCGTTGCACACCGACACCCGAAATGCCAGTGGAGGTATTAGGACGCATACTCAGTATGCTCTTCCATTGGTTTCACGTAACAGCGTGCTCATATGATGGTAAGTCGAGAGCAAAGCCATTTACCATATTTATACTGTATTCAAATTATTCCCACATAGTAGCAAGCCAAATCGAGAGCACCATCGAGAAGCTTAAGGTGGAGCACGTCTGCAATTGGCTTAAGGAGATTTGTCGCATACATTACAATGTAAATATTATATATGTATAATTATGTCTTATTCTTACCTAATAATTATAAACACCAAACGCATTGTTTCTTCACAGATCTTTATCTCTTGTTTACTACCACATCCGCCAGAGTATGCGCGTGTGGGCGGACACTGGGAGACGTTAGCTTCGCGAACTAGCCACCTGAAAGAAGGTCTGCAACGTCTCATATGCCTGGTACCCTATGAGGTCATTACTTCTGAAATCTGGGATTATGTTATGCCACACTGGATGGAGGCTATCACGAACGATGTAGGCGAAAAGGAGTTGAATGAGCTAAAAATTGTGCTCAGCAAAATACTCGATCCGGAAATGTCACCACTCGGCTTCGATGCTAAAACTATGTACAACTTTGTGGCGATACGGTTCGAGAAGACCACAGCTAAAGTGCAACAACAAGCTTTACATTGGTTACAGATACTCACAAAGTTGGGAATTCTAATACCACTGGTACAGTTGTTCGCTATGTTCGGCGATGGTGTTCGTATCATGAAATATGGCGTGCAACATGAGCTCATGCGCGAAAAAGAAGGACAGGCTAAGGGTCCAAAAACCCCCTTGAAGGAGACGAAAAACGAATTGGGTAATCCACCACGCCGAAGTTCGATTTGTAAGTTATACAAGCTGTTTAACTGAACTCTTCTAATCAGTTTTTTCTTAACGGCTTTGAATAGCTCCAGTAGTTGAAGACGACTCGGGCAATACATCCGCCATTTCGGATGATGAAGCACCTTCCAATCGTCACACAGAATTTTCTACAGATGCCGAGCACAATCTCACATGTTGCATTCTCATGTTGGATATCTTGTTGAAGCAAATGGAATTGCAGGATATTGAACAGCACATGGGCATACATACTAGCGTCTGTGAGAATGTATCACGCTTGATCAAGTGCATGGTCACGGCGGCACGTGTGGGCTTGAGCAGTCACGTCTGCTCACTTAAGGTAAATAATTCAATTACATACATATGTATGTCAATGATAAGTAAGATTAAACTTAGTTTTTCAACCTTTTGACTAAGGTGGCTGAGTGTGCTTATTGTGAGGCATCCATTATGTGGCACCAACTGGCGACAAAACTGGTACAATTTATGGCACCACTGAATCCTGTACGCCCACCAGATGTAAGTCACTTATCATTTTTAAGTTCAATTAATTTAAGCTTCACAGTTAGCAATCAACAAGTTAAAACCTTACGGATTTTTTGTATGAAAATGTCTTCTCCGGATTATAGTGCACTCTTATTAGAATACTCTCACTTCATATTTATTTTACTAACCCATTTTTAATGTGTACGTGCATTGCTTAAACCTTTCACAGATTCCCATCGAAGATATCATAGAAGAGGAAAAATCCTCACGCAAGAGTCCCCCCGAGAGTGATAAGGAGAAATCGCGTGAACGCGATGTATCACTATCAATGGCACCACTGCCCATACCTTTGGGTCCGCTAGGCGGTTTTGCAGGTGCTTCAATTTAAATTATATTTATTCATTATAAATATACATAATACACACCCTCACCTAATTTCAATCCTACACAAACACATGTGCTACCCAAATTAAACTTTCACCTTCGACCTATTAGAAGCGACGAAGAATTGGTGGAGAAATTTCACCTACATTTGTACATAAATATTATAAAAGAATTTGGCTAAACCAAGTAAATTGAAAATAGACCACTGTAAACTTGGCGTAATGCAACCACTTAATCAGTAAAAAACATAGTAAGTGTGTATTAAATGTATTGGATAACATTACGCTCGACAGTATTGTACTAGTTTATGTAATTTAATTCCAAATTAGGCCACCTATAATTGCAAGTCAATTAAAATCAATAAACCACATGTGAATGAGTTAGAATAAATCTAAAAAAAAACTTTAAACAGTTTTTTAAATTAAAAATAGTATAAATAACATTGTATGAAACTTACGGCCACCCTAGTATTTTCACCTTGTATGCTTTCAAGTATACACATAAAAATTTGCAATCATTTTACAAAAATTAAATCATGTGATCCAAAAGTGCCGTTTCACATTGGGATTCAAAAGAGTCTGATGTTTTTCAAATTTTCTTTTGGTGTCGCTCTGGGGTCACACGGTCAAAAAGAGTCCAGCAACTCGAGTCTAGTTTTTCTGCATTCCTTTTCACAAAATTTTCGTAAATATTTGTGCGGTTCGACTGCGCAACACCGCGCAACACTGCGTGCTGCGTATTTCATTTGTATGTTGAGATGATGGTCACACATTTTGCTTGCAATGAATTACCATGAATATGGTAGAACAATATGCATAGTACAAGTACCTACCCGCTAAATAGTTTCAAAGAAATACTAAAGACGGGAATTCCCTAATCCACAAGAATGTATTGAATATCCGCTACTAATATTTTCAAGGCCAAATTTATAATAAGAATTTCCTAATCTTTAAGTATTAAAAACTCATAATTTCTTTACTCCATAATCTATATCTTAATTTTCTCCTTATTTACAATTTGTCATAATATTTCTATTATTCTATGCATACATATTTGCATATTACATACAAAAATAGATAACAGAACTCAAATTTGCGATCGAATTCATTTGAAACCGAGCGCTCTTGCAACCATTCAAAGAATTTGAAAGTGAAAAGGAATGCTGAAAAGGGTAGCAGCGAGCTGTTACGAACAAGAACACAAAGCGTGCCACCCGAACACGAGTGGCACGGTCCCTTCGTCTTTCCTCGTCGTCCCCTCGCACACAATAAACTGGTATGAGACTCTTTTGAGTCCCAATGTGAAACGGCACAAATACTAACGACTCTCACAGTGCAAAGAACTTTAAACCATTCTAACAACTTTATCCACTTGGTATATGCAATTATATTCACCAAAATTTACGGTTTGAAACACAACAAAAATTTTCTAAAATATTTTACGATAAATAATTATCACTTAAAAGCAATGAACGCAATTATAAGTACTTACATATATATTTTATAAATTATATAAATATTTTTTTTTTTTGTACAGACAACTCAACATTAAAATTGTTTACCTCACTTTGTTATTATGTATCTTGTATCTCTATCTCTCTATCTTTCTATCTCTCTCCTTATCAACAAACGCGTACTCTGAACTGTAATTCTCTGTGCTCTCGACTCATTATACCTACTACGCCCTCCCAACACTGCGTGCCACTTTTAACTCTACTAATACGTACAACAACTATTACTACTACAACAACAACAAAAATAATCACTCCAAATAAAAATAATGATACTAATGCTTTTACATAAACTTTTGCTCATCCAAATCCTTAAGACATCTTAAAGCTAGATCAATTCTTTTCAGACGATGGGAAGATTATAATTATGGCAGGTGAAGCATCCTAGCATTCAACCAGCTTTCACGTATTCCTATACTATACGTTTTTTTTCTACCTTACTCTACTCTACTCAAGCTATTACTTAATTACATAATACTTTCTTTTTTGATTGATGTTTTAAAAGTAATTTTTGAAAAAAAACTTTTTTTGAATTTTTTCAATGAAGCTAATATTTAAACAAACAACTTTAAATAGTTTTCTAAACACCAAAAACTAAACAAACAAAAACACCGTAAAGTGACACAGTTGTCACCAGCAAACAAAAATGTGCACATTTTGCAGCACTTTCACTCGCAATAAACGTCACACTGAAAAAAAACGACCCACAAAACACTCGCTTATTAGCTACTGTTTTCAAGCTACACTCAAATAATGTTTTTTCTAATCAAAATTTTTAATATAACTTTGGGCCTTGAATCGCCCGATATGACAGAGATTTTCTAATATACTAAGAATCTTCGTCGAATTTTATCACAAAGGAAAAAGTGATTCTGTTACTAAAAGTGCAAGTAATAAAAATGAAGCGTGGCTAAACCCCTTGATCAAATATTCAAATCTTGTAGACTTCTATTTTGATTTTAAATTACTATCCGATGCTACCCCCGTCATCTACATCTACTTTTCATCAATTCAGCTGTTGAAGACGCTAAGAGATATTCTTGAATAATAAGTTGCTCATAATAACCGACTTGTAGCTATTGATCCTTTTAGAAGGAACTATCTTTTCTGAAAATCCTCAAACTGATCAACTTAATATAATAATAACATTAACTCATCTTCCGAATAACTTTCGTTTACTGTTATTTAATTGTAAGTACTACCAAAATTTTCGGCTTATGTTGAAATGTTTTAATCTTTAGCAACCGAAAAATGGCTCGACGATTTGGTTATTTAGATTCTTAAGGGATGGAAGGTCCTGTGCGACCGCGAGATCCTTCCGTCCAAGAGTGGATCGCAGGAGGTCGGGGGAACTTCTCGCCCTGAGCAAAGTGCATCTCTCCGCTATGGTAGGAGTTCTCAGTGGACACTGTCCAATGGGCACTCATGCGGTACGGCTTGGTGTACCACCCGATGCTAGTTGCCAAAGTTGCATGGAGGAGGGCGAGGTGGAATCATCCCGGCACTTTCTCCTCCAATGTCCGGCTTTCCCTAGGCTGCGATCTAAATATCTCGGCAATCACACTTTTGGCGGACCTGAATACTTATCCGAAATGGATATTGGCCGTCTTAACAAGTTTGTAGTAAGCACAAACAGTCTCGTCGACTTGTAAGGGTCTTTTGATCCAGATTATAGGAGTTTTGTAGGTATCACAACGGACCGGCGTCTAAAGCTGTCCAAGTGGGATCCATTTTTGATCGACCTCCTAACCTAACCTAACCTAAGGGATGGAATAGATTTTCTTCTGAAATATGCTCTTGTACTCACAACCTACGTTGTTATAGAATATGAAATTACATTTTCAATGGACTCGGTGAAATTATGACTTGAAAATAGGACCGGCTAAAACTAACGTCATCATTTGCGGACTGATACGGAACTGTAAAGATCAGCTGATATAGAACGTTTATACTTTCAACAAATATAAATTAAGAGAGCATCGGTTTATTTTACTAAATCAATTTTACTATACGAGTGTTATATATTGGCAGCGTCTCCGTGGTGTTTGGTATGATCCGTTGGCTGAAAACCGCATCGTGAAAAGAAAAAACTTCGGTTGCTATAATATCCTTCACAAATATAAAATATTCCTTACAGGAACTTGATTTTGATCGGTCAGTTTGTAAGGCAGCTATATGCTATAGTGATCCGATCTGAACAAATTCGGAGATTGCACCGTTGCTTTGGACAATACCCCAAGGTAACTTTCTTGAAGATATCTCATCAAATGAAAAAATTTTCTAAACAAGGACTTGATTCCGAACCTTCAATTTGTATGGCAGTTATATGCTATAGTGGTCGAATATCGATGGTCCCGATAAGTGAAAATTTTTTTGGGTGAAAAAACGTGTGCAAAATTTCAGATCGATATCGTACAACTGAAGGACTACTTTGCGTATATACAGACAGATTGATTGAGGGCACAATAGACCATAGGTCGCGGTGCATACCTCAATTCCAATCTACAGACAGATAGACGGACATGGCTTAATCGACTCACTTCATCATGCTGATCATTTATATGTTTTTTTTTATTGGGTATCCGACATTTCATTCGGGGTGTTACAAACTTCGTGGCAAACTTAATATACTCTGCTCGGGGTATAACAACATCTATGCGACAAGTACCGATTTAGGGATATCTCTGCTAAAAACGATACATTCTCAACCCTTACGCTTCTTTTCTTTAAAACAGCGGCATCGATTCAATGTATACGACTTCGTTACATGCTAATATATTTGTGCTAAGTTTGAGACGCGATTGTCACTGTTCTGAAAGACTCACATAAACTGTCTTCGCAATGTCAGAAACAAGCTGAGAGCTGTATTCTAGCTTTCTGGGACAATAGTAAATAACACGGATACAAGTCGTGATTGCACATATGGTGCATTTGGTCCACGAAAGTATTTTAGTATTTATTGTAAATATTTCTAATAAGTTTTTGGCAGCATAGCAATTACTTACCCAAAAAAAACATAATTACAGTAAACCCCAAAAACCACAGATATTTCCATATTACATCATAGCACAAATATACTTACATACAGATAATTGCACAAACACCGAATTTTCAATGCATGCATGATTAGCCGAAAGCTCATTTACATTATATTTTGCTGTATTGCGTTTGAAAATAAGTAATTACGAAGTAATCTCTGTATATACGTTTTTGAACCATTAGCATTGAATAGCGCTTAAAAGTAATATTTTTTTTTTAATTACTAATAACAAATAGTTGCATGAGCCGCAGCCACCGACTGCGACGCACCTTGCTCGTCTTATTTTTTCTTATTTAAATTAGCATCAAATCTGTTTATCGTAAGCGAGTGACAATTGAATGATCAACTCAGATAAGTTTTACCGGAAAGTATTAAAGAACAACAGCAACCACTTAGCTGCCATACATGAGCGACATTTTTTGTGTGTCTAGAAATGTTTACAGTGGTTAGTTGAAAATTTTGAATAGGATTTTACCAAACTCGCTGTACTTTATAGAAATAGTTGAGTTTGTTTTATTGCTATACAAGCGTTTTTATTATTTTAGCGAGTATTCTTTTGCCGCTCGCTTACCAAAGAACAGAGTTATAGAAGAAACCCCGTCCACATTGCAACCTTACGTCTAAGATATGTTCAACCTTTAGTATTCCCTGTGTATTCGAGTTTTGATTTTAATGATAAATTACACAAATTTCCACAAACTCATTTAGCTAATATATAATATTTGTTTCTTGTTTCTCGTAATTGTTGACTTGCCGACCGGGTTGTATAGGACCGGTGCCAGTAGCAGTGCCACAGCCGGAACCACACTCTGTAGGCGGTGTACTCGTTCACATGCCACACGTTTGCTCCGTATGTATACATGAAAAAAACAAAAACAAAAAATACAACTACAAAAAACTAAAGCAAAAGACAGCAATGGTATAAGTATTTACAAAACAAATACAATTACAGGCATACAAATATATTTATAAACTATTGCATACAACTTTAAATACATATTACATATTTTATAGACATTTTATCGACTATGTTCCGTTTTTGTACTTGAAGGATGCGTTCATGTTAATTTGACGTGTTTAAGCATTACTAAAGTTAACACATTTATTAAAAAATAAAAACAATTATATAATAATTAAAAGATGTAGTAAAAAGATGACTAAGTACAGTATGTATTCGTTACATTGAATAATGCGTTTGACAATTGTTGTTTAACATTTTATTTTGAAGTTGCAAAAGTTGGAAATCAAAAGTTTCCGAGTTACATTACAGATTTATTTATATATTGTAAACGATTTCAAAGTTATTATAATACATACATACAACTTTGCATATTTACATTTTTATTAATTTTTATTTTCATCATCAATTTTGGCAAGCGAACTCACAATACTGTTCGTATATACAAAGAAACGAAAATAAGACACAATGTGTGTTTTTATGTTCGCATGTCATCCCTGCAGTGAATTGAACTAGCTACAAACCACTTCCAATACAGCCGATATGAACCGCAAGTGTAACTAATCAACCAACCATATATTTTTCAAAAGTTTCTAAAAGGTTCCGGTCAGAAATATATTTAGCTTGACATAAGCAAAAGAATCCAACAAAAAAAAAATAAAACCGAAATTTTATATTGAGTTTAAAAAATTAAGAGTTAAAAATGTATCTCCGTGAAGTAAATATAAAGAAATTATTAATTAACGTGCATAATTGGTACGATCTCGTTTCTTTTGAGACTAGTTGATTTTCAATGCAGATATTATAATTTTCGTCTTAGTCCGATTTCACCCTAAAATTAAAATTCAAAACAAAGATGGATTTCAACGAAAATATTATATCCCTGCTGATCGTTACTAAAACATTGCCATTCGAACATTCTGGCAACTACAAATTTCGCTGTCGGTTGATTTTGATAATGATATTTTCTATTATATTCTGGCACCCATGTTCGTTACAATATATAATATATATATGAAGTGTATCTGGCCAACAGTTTCGTAGATATGAGCGAATTCGCAATAGTTTAACTTTAAAACTTTAAACACGTTTTTCTGTAACGTTGCTTTTTGAGGAAAATTCTCCGAAACCGTTTGTCGGGTAATAATCGTAATAGTCACATTTTCGATAATAATTTCGATTTTTAATCTACACTGAAATATGATTTATTTCACAAATAATCATTACCTATATCATATTGTATATGGTATAGTAATAAAACATATTTTTAGTTTTCGGATTTGAGAGAATTTTAAGTGGATAAAACTTCCTCACCGCCTGCAACCTTTTATCAGAGGTCCACCTGGAGATCGGCTTTTCAAATCGGTGATTAAGATTATTAAAGGACGTTAAATTCTGTAAAGGTACATTTTTTATTTACCGATTAAATAATATCTTTAAAAAAATACTGCGCAAAAAACGCGTTTGTCTGACTTGCAAATATATAACCCCTAAAGACTAAAAGTTCTAGTTCCAAGCTAGTGGTTTTTTCTAACTAGTTAGATCCGAGTGAGCAATTTCCGCTCGTAAACTATCATTTCTACGATTACTGATTACTGACCGAAAACTCCCGCTGTGAACTAGTACTTTTCTAAACTAGTTAGATTTCAATCGAAAATGTCTTAACTTAAACTTATATTTTGCGGCCTAGTTAGATCTCATAGAAGAAAATCTAACAACAGTCCAGTTGTTTGCCCAGTTCGATTTCAATCCAAAAATTCTTGCCTGAATGATAATTTGTGTATCGCAGTATGCCCGTTCATTGCAGGGATTACTTACATAAATGTTTTTATATTACTTTTCCACAGTAAAAACAATATTATGGGTAACTTTTCAATTATTAAAAATTAAAATAAATATAATTTAATTTTATTTTATTTCGTATACTTTTTTTTTAGAATAACGATAATGGGCATTCAGTTGATAGTATTGAATTGAGAAAAGTTCACGCCACAGACGAGGTACTTTGTGCATACGAAATTCAATGAAAATAACTCAAAAAAATTATCGATAAAATAGCTCGATTAATGTTTGCTTACAAAATGAAATTTACTTATAATTATAGCTACTAAATTATTTGTAAACAATTTTATTATTATTATTTTTTTTTTACATGAAAAAATCTTTTTTGTTTATCGTTGTTGTAAAGTGATTAAGGTCCATGCCTATCTGAATTCAAAATTACATAACCATGAAAAAAGGCTATTTGATTCTATGTTACCTGTATATATAGCAAACTTCTACGTATGTCTGTACATAGTAATACACGCGTACTACTTGAATGAATAGATATAAACTATAAAAAATATTTTTTATAATTTTTTTTTTAAGTCACATCAATAATTTGTCACCAAATAGTCTACTAACTACTACAGCTAAAGTCCCTTAAGGCTTTTTTGTTGCCGTCAGACATTGTTTGTGATGACTTATTTATTTCATATTTTTTCATTATAATAACATTCCCAATAAGACTAGATAACGAAGATAAACATTTCTTTGTGCCTTTGCAATTTAATATAGATCTAAAAGCTTAGTTAGATATTTTAGCGCTTAGGACATTTATATTTTATTTACGTATTTTTTCGAGCTTCATCAGTAAACATCGAAATTTTTAATGTTTTTTTGGTAAAACAACGAGTTTTTAATGAAATATATAATATCTGTAACTAAAAGACACTTCAATCTATCACCATCTGTGCTTCCATCTGTGCTTTAGTTTCACTGTCTTTTAGAACTTAGATGGATTCATACACTAGACAGTATCTTTCGTACAAGTATATCCATTTTAAATGTTCCTTTCAAAACTTTAGTACAATATATTTCTTTCTAAATTGTGTATTATAACGATGGCTAGTAATTTAGTAAACAGTCCTCGGAGTTTTTTTTGTAAAAGAAGGGCTGCAAAGAGCACGTAAATGGCTTTAAGTATCTGTATTTAAATGGATTTTTGGATACCGATTTTTTAAGAAAGTTTTACTTTTGAATTTCATTTTACTCAAAGTTTATTAATAATAAACAGAAGTTATTCGAAAAAACGTTTTCTTTTGAATTTTTTCTTATGGCCCTATTTAAAACTGTACACAAACTATTATCAAACCACAAACGCAACTTACGAGTATTATATACATTTAAAAAAATATTTTCTATATTCTTAATATCTCTGAAATTCATGAAATCAACGCCGTTACAAAAACTGTTTGCCGTAAAATGAAAGCTTAAACATTTTTAACGATCATTTATGCAATTCGTAAAAAGCCTAGTACTATTGTGATTCCAACAAACATTGACCGGTTTTGACATTATTATTATGTTTTTTTTTGTTAAAAATTTGAAGGTTTTGAAAAAGTTAGTAAAAAACTTTCCCGTTTCACTGGCTTTAAAACAAATTCCGCACGCAACGATCTTATTCAAGTACTATTATTTATTATACACATGTTGAGAAATGCTTTAATGTATAATTTTTTACTTAATGTAAACTGTCGAATGTATTTTATAACAAGAAAAAACGCTAACTTCGGCTGCGACGAAGCTATAATACTCTTCACAGCCTCAACTTTTCCTTACAAGAACTTGATTTTGGTCGGATAGTTTATACAGCAGCTTTATGCTAAGGTGGTCAGATCTGAAGTTCTACGAATATTGTATTGTTCACTTGGATAATAATTCGTGCCAAATTTTGTGAAGATACCTTGTCAAATAAAAAAAGTTTTCCATATGAGCTTCGCTCAACTTATAGTCAACATAACCGGCCTAATGAGCGTACTATTCGCAACACCATCACCTATTTTGAGACCCAGCATTCATTACTGGATAATATTCGACCGAATAGACTACGTCCAGCTCGCAGTGAAGAAAATACAGCGGCAGTAGCTGATAGTGTACACGAAGACCGTGGAGATTCGATTTGGTGCCGTTCGCAGCAACTCGGGCTGACGTATGGAACGACTTGGCGCGTTTTACGTCGAGATCTTATATTGAAAGCGTACAAAATACAGCTGGGCTTTTTTCTTCAAAAAAGTAGAGAACCTTAAAATGTTACAAACTTTATGGCAAACTTAATACCTTATACCCTATTCACGGTATAATTATAAATTGATTCAATATATTTATTAAAAATCATCACAGTTGTATAAAAGACAATACCACTTGAAAAAAAAAATCACTCATAAATTTCCTCAGTTAAATTTTTATATACGAAATGCCGTCAGAATTCTCTTATACATACATACATACATACATATGTAGTACTACGGTTTTGACTGTTGTAAAAAAGTGTTCAATCTTTAATCTTTTGTAACTAAAACTGAAGATATTCAACCATCCACATAGTACCGAGTACTTCCAATAACTGGGTAACTTCCAGTTTATTTACTTATATAGTATACTTTAGTACTTATAAACTCCTAAAGCAAAAAAAAATCAGCTATTCTGTAGACATATATTTTTGTTTTTGCAAATAATTTGTCACTCAAATTTTTACAAATCGCTGCTAAATTTTTTGTCTAATTAGTTACTTTTTTTTCTAAAATTTATATATTTCACTGTCTCAAAGTACTTTGTATGTGTGTGAATAACAAAATCCAAGTATATAATTAATTGTAAAATACTTTAAATTATATTAAAAAAAATATTTAAAAATCTTTAAATAGCAAAATAATTATAAATAATTATCGTTTTCGTTTATAGATTTTAGTTTTTTTTTCATAATTTCTTTTTTATAAATGTTAGCATGTCAAACGAAGAAATGTTCATTGTACAGCACCAACAACACCAAATGTAATTAAATGCAATAATATTCATGTTCCAAGCATTTTATTGCACAATTTCTTTCTGTTTACAGTTACTTATAGACACATGTACATATGTATGTATATTTTTTAATTTTGCCTCCTACGAATTATTATTAAAACGCTGTCATTAAAGTACATATATGTGGGTACAAACATTATAGTGTCACAAAAAAGTTAAAAAAATATTCGTTACGTTCAAATTTCTTGTGGTCTTGTATGTAAATGTATAACTGCTGTATATAGTCTCCAACAAAGATATATATAAGTAGAGCTTTGTTTCTCATCTTACTGAAGACAAAATATACAGCTTTTATTTCGCTTTTTTTTTTGGTTTTTAACATACAATTTAGATTATGACCGCAACAGTGGAAACAGTTTCCGAACAATTGGATTTAGCTTCCATCCTGCCGGCGGATAGAGCTATAGCACGTTCTATAACGCTCTCCGATGCAGATGTTGGTGAGTTGTAAACTAGGAACACGCCTAAGAGACTCCCTCCCACTCACAAAGAGAGAGTTAGATAATGAGATATAGGTTGTCGAAGAGCGTATTATAGAGAACAAAATTTTAAATTGCATACACAATGTAAACAAAGAGAGATAAAAGATTAAAAATATGTATTTTACACTTACATTATATTTGAACCGGCTTTGTTTCATCAAAATTTTTCTCAATCTCTTAACTTTACCTACAAATAGTCATATGTCGAATTGTGCTGCGGAATTTTTGATATATTTACTTTAAAGCAGAGTTCTAGAGATGTTCAACCCCTTCCCTTCTCCTTTTCAACAGGTTCACAGGTGAAAAAACATATCAATCCATAAATACAGATACCGTTGTATGCTCGTTTCTTCGAGCACACAGTTCACTTTAGTATCCATATGTGCTCACGTTGGTAAGAAACAGGTACTGCACTCTTTCATTGTTAGTTTGTTCAGCCCGTAATATTTAATCCAGCCAATCGCTGCGTTGTGGGTCCGATTCCTAACATTGCCAAAATTAAAATATAACATAAAGTTTTTTCCGATAGCGTTTATTGTTCACAAGTTGGCTTATAACTTGTTGGACCTCTTAGTTTATCGAGTAAAAGCGATACTTTTTTCATCTCTTCTCTTTGGTTTTAGGCTAACGCTCAATTGATCCACGCGATTGAAAATTTCCAACATCCCTACGCACACCTCATAAAAACCGAAAATATTATTTCATAGTACCCAAAAAGCACTCCACGTCATAATAATTTTCTAGTTTGCGAATTATTTCATACTCATCTCTTTCTCCTCATAGGTAGTGCCAATGTTAGCGTAACCAGAGCCTCAGTGCTTGGCGAAAATGGCGGAGCAAATGGTAGCACTGGTGGTGGTGTAGGCGAAAATGGCAGCGTATCCGATGAGGAGGAGGAAGAGGAAGAGGGTGAAGATTTTTGGCATACTTCGGTTGGTAAATTTAAATTTACATTGGATCAACTACCACAAACACTACAATATATACACCAGCTATTAACGGTGAGTTGAATTTTTATACGCGTTCCTTAAAAGAAACATTTAGTTATTTCTTCTTTTTCACATTTAGGAAATTCCCACTATAAAGAAACCTGAAATTCTATATTACATTCTACAATGTCTAAATGTAATGGCACTCCATGGTGACGCTCTAGCTAAAGCGGCACGCGAATATCGCGGCTTTTTCATATGGTGTCAAGAAAATCTACTGATTAAAAAGTTAGTTACATTTGTACTTCTCAAAGGACGTGCACAACATTTAAATTATTTTCCGTTATTTCCAGCCTTTGGGGGCTTTGCATCGCCGAGCATTCCCACATCTGCCAAGCAAGCGTACCACTACTGCTACATTGTATCACACTCCCACTGGGCTCGGATGTATTTTGGCGTGTCGTGCAGGAAGCATTTCATGACACCGACTGGCGCATCCGATTCACAGCAGTTGAGCGAGTTACCGTAATTACCCGTTTCATGGACTCGACCCCCTTACGCACCGAAGTCGGACTGCAGACGGCGCTCGCTACCGCATTTTGTCATCTGATCGCCAGCATGGACGACATTAATGTGTATGTGGCGCAGCGGGCGACCCTCTATATTGGCACCATACATGACACGGCAATTCGGTCACTCCTCTTTTGCTTGGAATCGCAATTTGATTTGTTTATCGTAGACCGACCGGTGGTGCTGCAATCCGTCTACCAGTTGCACAACTCGCTTTCGGATCGAAAAATCCTCACCTGGGAGTTCTTTTTAAATCGCTTCGATACGCTCTTTGTGGAGGCGCAAATTAATTTGGAGAAATGTGGTGATATTTCATATTTGCGTGATTTACGTAATTCGGAGAATGGCAGTGAGGCGCTATCGTCTAAAATATTGAAAGCGCGTGAGGCATTGAGTCAATCAGACACCAGCGGTAGTATGGCAAAAACGCTAAGCGCCTCGTTTGGTACTAAATGGCCGTACAAGCGCACTATGTCCGCACCGGCAAGCATGATACCACGTCAAGACTCCAAATTTAGTACGTATTTAAGTGAATATTTTAATACCCAACTGTGATGTGGAAACTTATGCGAACATTTTCTTTTCTTTACTGCAGTGCCTGAGAAGGAGAAGATTTACAGTCGCCAAATATCTGCGCCCATACTCAAGCGGAAAACATCACGTTTCGGTTTGGGTCAGTTTTTAGGCTCTAGTGGCAACCAAGCTAATGTTTCTAGTCATAGTTATGTAACCACTAGTCATCCACCCACCCAATATCCCCGTGCCGGCCACGCCCACTCCCATCCACATGCTTACCCTCATACCACACAACCCACAACATCTTCGAAACATCATTCCACAGCTGCGGCTGCCCCACAACCCTGTCCCATACATAATCCCGCAACATCCGCGTCACATAGCAATTTCTTCTTCTCCTCCAATTCACCATCTACTTCCACCAACACTTTTGTTGCGCATTTTGCGCATTTCACCGGTAGTAGTGCACATCCACCACCAACATCACAACCACAATCTATAGCTACAATATCAACGTTAGCTTCCTCAGCATCTCATAGTCAGAGCCATCAGTATTTAGTACATTGCGTAGCGCCCACACCTAGTCAAACGTTCACAGCACATAGTCCATTGCCGACGTTGCGGGAAGCAGAGCCGCCGCAAACGAGCGTACAAATGTTGTCAACACAAAAGACGTCACTACCTCCACACCAGCCGCATCACACCTCCTATCATTCACACTTTCAAAAGCATCCATCCGCACCGAATCTGTTGCCACCGCCATCGGCAACAGCGGCCCTCAGTCCCAGTCCCACAACGACCAACAATCCGTTGCTTCACTGCACTTGTGGCGTTGCTTCAGGCGGTGTTGGTGCTGTTGCTGGTGTTAGTGGTAGTGGCGCCACCACCGTAAATGCGCCTATATCGGCATCGGCTCACCAAGGTAGGTTGTAGTGCATGCCGTCCCCACCTCTGGTTCCCCAGTAACAGGCGAAATGTTACTGCGTTTACGAATTTCTGTTTCTTTTTTTTTTGATGGGCATTCGTTCTTATCTTCGTTTTCTTGATTTTTAATTGGAATTATGTTGCGTAAAAGATCGTGTTATGAGTGTGTCGTTCATATGAATTCGACCATAACTCTTTAATAAAAATTAAATTAACAAGAAATTATCAGGATCTCATTCTGTACACATTTTATAAAAAGAATTAGAAATACTCTTCAAATACTTGGTCAGAAATCATTGTTCAATTGTGCGTTATGAACGACATACACATTTACATACTGTGTCTACAATACCCCATGCAACCATTCTCGATGTTTCTATGTCACTATCTTCTCTGATGTTCCTTGTTCATCCTGAAAACTTTTAGTCTGCATGCTATCATTTATATAGCCCTTGAACTACTTTGACTACGCAATGTAATTATTATATATGTATGTATTACGCGTTCTTTGATATTACTTTATTTTACTTACATGCGGCGATATACATATAAGAAATGTTAATGCAGATGGGCACCTATAATCTTTATAATTCCATTATTGTATCTTTCACCCGATATTGCCGTGCTCCCCGATTATATTCATATTATAGTATCATAATAAGTGTTATCTAGCAGGCAATATCTCTTAAGTAAGGAACACTCTTCATGTCAATGTCGATACTCATCCAAGAGATCCTTTAGGTTCGTTCAAGGAAGTCGATAAAACAACTGCTGGCGCTAGCATATGAGGTTGCAAATAATAATCCAGAAATCTTGTGTCTAGGATATTTCGCAATATCGAATTTGTGACTTACTTAGAATATTGCTGACGCCTTCAAAAATTTTAATTAAAATATAAAAATGATTATCTGAAATATAATATACAAGCTATACCCAAGGAAAAACAGCTAACCCCTTTTTAACAACACTGGAGGGACTTTTCGAGAGGTAACTGTAATATTCGATTACCCCGGTAGTTGGAACTCCCTTCTTTCTTTTTGGATGTTTTAGTTTTCATGTTTTGAAATTTAACTGGTCGACCCGTACCATGGACTAACAACACGTTCTAATATTTTGTCCACGGTTTTATTTTTTATCATTTAAGTATTCTTTCTTAACTTTTTGTTACAAAGGATGTATATATGAGCTCTTTCTATTACTATATTTTATTTTAATTTTCGTACTTGGTGTTCAATAACTCATTAGTAAATGTCTCATCTCATATTCATACGCATGCTTGGTCTCATTTGGTGTCTAACGGTTGTAGTACGAGTATATTAATGTCCCATTCTTCTTACTTGAAGTTGTACTCGCTTCTTTGCTGAGGAGCTCAACTAGCTCGAAGTCTTGAAACTAAGTTTGCTCTGCGACTCAGTGTTTCAAGCTAGCAGATTAATTAATTATGTGTTGTTCTTCTATAAAGTGCCAAATCAGTGTGTACTTCTGTACTGGTATGTATGTATTTCTTAAGCTTGCCTATATAAATATGTATACATATATGTGTCTATATACTGATATACTATATGATATGTACAATCACATTGATGTTTAGTTGGATTATTTAAAGGAGCTGTAAATACAAATGTGTCTATAATATGACTCTTAGACTCTGGTGTCATCCTACTTGTATTTGAAATTCCTTAAGCCCCACAGAAATATAAAAATAAATCAATTTTCCTCATATAGACGGACATATTCACTCGCTGGGTGGCATTAATGATGACAACCTTATTGGATTGCTAAGTCGCATTACCGAGCTGGAAGAGTCCGATCGGGAAACCATACATTTGCTCGTTTTTCTGCTAATGCAGTTCATGTCGCGCACCGATCAGGCATTCCCCTCGGAAGATAAACCGATATCCAAGACACAAAATATTGTACTCAAACATTTATTTTTGCTTTTGGGTCACAATCAGATTGACAAAACTTTCCACACAACGCCGGAGAATCTACGGTAAATGAAGTACACGAGATCTCATTTAAATCAAGCATTTACGATTTCTCTTGCAACATTCACTCAGTGTTTCAGCGGTCTTCAATGCATTCCTCGCAAATCTACCACAAGTTTTGGATCAAAACCACTTGATTGGCGGTCTTATACTACCTTCGGTAATGCAGATCATATTGTACGCACCAAATCCCAGTAATACGGCTGCCGATTGCTATCAAAATTTGGTTTTCAATTATTCACTTTGGTATTTGGAGCAATATCCACGTCGAAATTGGATGTTTACTATACTGGTGGTGCTCTACAAGTATTCCTACACTCAACCACCGTACAGCGCGTACGTGATTTCGGCAATGCGCATGGTTATGAATAGTTTGCGTAATCATTTCCATCAATGTCGCCGCATACCGACCACCACCATATTGGATATACAAGGCACATCGCGTTCGCGCGACGTTAGTCAACCTTCTTTGGGTACAGATCCCGATGAGAAAGATCCTAGTCCACCAGCCAGTCCAATGTTTCCTTCGGAAGGTACAAGCGCCGCGTCAAAAAGTAAAGGCCAAAATGTCGCTTTCACTCCAAAGCTACAGCATGCATTCCGCAAGTACAATGACTCTAGTTTGGAGGCGGATGAGACGGAATCTGAACTGGTGGCAATACCGGAAAGTGATTTGTCGGACAGCACATTGCATGGCAGCAGTGCACCGGTAAATAATTTGAAAGTATTTGATTTGATTTGGCAAAGATGAAATATATACTCGTACAATTATTTTTGCCAGGGTTCTTTTGACGATACCGTACACTTTGAGGAAACATCGTTAACAAAGGGCGATATGCAAAGAGCACGAACAGCGCGTACCGTTGACTATGAAGAGGTGAAGAGAATGAAAATACATATGTATATTTGTGTAGAAAATTTTAAAGTAAATATTCTTTTTAATTAATTAGAAAACAACAAAGGCACAACATAAGTCGTTAATTACTACCAAAACTGGAGACACCTACACTACGAAAATTCGAACTACCGGCGGTCAGGAAGCTGTTAGTACCACTGTTGTTACCACACAAGCGCGTCATAGTCTCCAAGAAGGTGTGCGCATGATAGTTACCCCCCTCGTAGGCAGTGATACGGCTGCCGAAACCGCCATTGTTAGTCCACCAGTTGATGTGCACCGCGCTATTACAGTCCGAAATAAATCGTTAGATAACGCTGCCACTTCGACCTCGAAGATGTTTGCTGCAATTGCAACAAACCATCTTAAAGCATTGGGTGCCCTACAAGATATACAAGCCAAATCTAGCGATAGTAACTCTAAATCACTGACACCCACTAATGGCAATCGCTCGACGAATAGCAGCACTGAGAACTCGGGCAAGTGTCCACAACAACTACCACCAAATACTTCTCAGCACGTACAAAACCAACAGCAGCCATCACATCATCCGCCTTCTCATTTAAAAAAGCCTATTGGCCGGCACAAGACTATTGTCGAATGTAGTGCTGGCACTTCGTCCTCATCGACTGGCACGGATGACTCACGACTCAGCGCCAATCACAAGAAACCAGCCGGCAAATCGCTAAAACGTTCGGACAAAGCATACGGCTCCCCCGATTCACCGCTCTCCAAAATGAACGTCATGCCTAATCCAGTCGATGAAGTGGACACCACAAAATTACCGGCACCAAAAAGTATAGCAGCCCTCGAAATACCCACGCCAGAACGTTTACTGCCAATTGGCACACATGAGTCGATTGGTGGCTTAATCGACCGTTTGCGCGACGGTCTCAACTTACCGGATATAAGTCATTTGAAACAAGATAGCCTCGATGTATCAGACAGTACTAAAGATGACATAACACCCAGTAGTCGTACTACATCACCACGTCGTCTCATCAAACAAGTAGCACTGGAATCGCCACCAAATGCGAGCATTACCGGGCAACAGGATCTGCATTCTTCCATATTAAAAAGCGTTACACAAGAGGTGAAGACAACAACCAGCGCTACGGTTACTGCAAGCACAAGCGGTATGCATACAGCAACTAAACCAGAAGCTCCTAAACGTCCACGTCAGAAATTGGCTCCCTTCAATATGGACGCTAGTGCCATGCCGGATATACGTTCACGCTTCGCTGGTGCATGGCCACCGCCACCATATCAACCCGCTGAAGAGCTAGACGACGATCTGGATGATGGCATTGAAAATGGTAATGGTCATATTAGTGCAGCAACGCAGCCGAATCGGGTGGTAAGTGTGCTTTTGAATTCGATTATCCTTCATTTACTTTTTCTTAGAATTTTAAGATAATAAGCACTGGGGACGTTGCGTTTATAAGCCGTAACGAGCTCTATTAAACTTCCATTTTGAGACCGACGTGATGTTACATGACTAGTCTTTCACCAAACTTTAGTCCCTTCGTTCTTATAACTCTTGACTATCTTCTTTTGCAGAGCACTAGACGCGTTGGCGATTATACGATTTGTGACCGTTGTAGCGACTGTGGTGCCCTAATCGAAGAGTATACCGACGAGGATATTGGCATACTGATAGTAATATTAGGAACTTTCATTCATCGCGAACCGGCAATGGCAGCACCGTTTCTACCTGAGATACTGACCATAAGCTCAAGGTGAGTATATAAATTATGAATAACATGTCTATTAATATTATCAAAATCTCGTCACTAGAATCTGCTTGACATCTACGCACTCCTGGCAGGGTGAGAATGGACCGGCATTGGTTTGCAGCGCTCAGGCTGTGTCGCTGCAATTCATACGCTGTGTTCTGCATCAGCTGGCACCCAACGGTATTTTTGTGCAAGTTTTCCAAACTCAAGTGAAGAGTAAGAGTGATATATACTACAATACATACTCACAAATGTATAAAATTAATATTAAATAATCTTCACACAGTGAAAGTGCGCCACAACTCGTTCCGCAGTATTGCACGCGCTCTACAGGACTTTCAGGAGCTCAATGCCACACATCCAATTTATATGGTCTGCGAATCACTACAATCGAAGAAATCGCTACCGGTCGAACAGTTGCCGGTAATCTTTCGCAACATGGCCGAGTATTTGCATTGTGTGCCAACGGAATTGACCACCGGTCCAGGTGTTTGGCAGCAGGCCATGCAAGCAATGGAATCGCTATTGCGTCAAGTAATTGTGTTGCTACCAAATCTGGCAAATCCCGAACATCTGCTCGACATAATGGTAGCCACTTTGAAGATGAACATTGTGCCAAAGACACTACTTGATCCCTACTCGAAGATAATTGGCTTTTGCGTGCAGAATACGAATTTAGAGTACCACTCTTTGTATGAACTGTGCACACTCAATATGCGTTCGTTTTCCAAGGATCGCGATAAGATGCTGCTCTGTCGTCAATTGATTTTCGAGTTCGTACAGGCATTGAAGTTCAAAACTAATATACCCGATAACAACTTGTTGATGATTATCGGCTTTGTGCTGCATGATGCTGGTGGTACGCTGCCGCCGGGCACTATAGCTGGCTTGCCAGAGACTCCGCCACCCTTGACTACGAATGCTGCGGATTGTATGCGGCAGTACGTCAACGATGTTATAGATTTCCTAGCCGACTTTCACACACTGAGTAAAATTAAGGTGACTTCTACTTACATATGTTTCATTCCGCCAACTCACAAATTCTCGTACCTTTTAGAACTTCACAAATGGACAGATACAAAATGGACTTGGCGAAGACACGCTGGGTGGCGTTTTGAAGGGAGCTGTGGCACAATACCTCGCGCTGGAAATGTCACGCGGCAACGCACGTGACAATAAGAGCAGTTCGCGTTACTTGCCCTGGTTAAATAATGCACCCTCGTCGCTACAGCAAGGGTGAGTTCTAATAAAGATTCCCGCAGTCATGCAAGCGTCGGCTAAATATCTGTTCACTCTCGTTCCATAGTCCCAAAGAATTCACGGAATGCGTTGGCCACATGCGTCTACTCTCCTGGCTGCTGCTCGGCTCACTTACACACTTGGCGTTAACACAGCGCCGTAATGAACGTCACGCCATACCCATACCGCCACAACAGGTACCACCAACCGTACCACCGGCAGCAGTGCATTACCAGCACCATCATCAACAGCCCAGCGGCATGGCATCATTTGCAATGCCTGTCTCTCAGGAGTCATCTTGTCACATTGCCGATCACATTCAGGTGATTTTTGCCGGTTTCGCCGAACAGTCGAAAACATCGGTGTTGCATATGTCATCACTCTTTCACGCCTTCACCCTGTGCCAGCTATGGACTGTGTATTTGGAGCATGTTGCACGCTCCTCCAGCAATGCAGAAGGCAACACCATGGGCGTACTCTTTGAGTTTTGGGCCAAAGTTACACCGTGTATTTTGCAGTTGGTTTCACATGCGCGTCCACCAAAAGAGAGTTCCGGTAGTGGCATCGGTGGTGCAGGCATAGCCGATTTTACTCAGAACCCAAATGCAAAAGTGAGTTAGAATAGATATTTTGTTATTGCAAATAGTCGGTTATTCTAACAATGCTCGTGGAAAGGGTTGTTATATAAGTAGGGATTGCGTTTAAGGGATTCAGACAGCTACTGAGGTCCGAGTTCAAGAAATTTTTCGTCTGTTGGTGTGTAAAGAAGTTGGTTGAAATGGGTCACGTTGAATTGCGAAAAGGAGGCTTCTTGTGATGAAAAGGCGAGTGAAGATTTTTGATTGAATTAGATTTATACGATGCCAAGGACTGCCAACGAGGCAATATCTCTCAAAATTGTTTGGGAAACTTTTTTGTCACTACCACAACAACCACAAATCGGATGACAGAAAATACAAGATCTGGTGCAACAAGGTCACTTGTGTCTAGTGTTCTTGTGTTTCGAAATGTCACCAGTCTTTCCCCTGTTCTGCCATTTCGAAAACCATCTTCACTACTTATATTGTAGTTATTCATATCAATATCAACGGAGATTGTTAAACTCAGAAGGAAATGTCGGAGACCCTAACGTATGAATTATAATATATACCTATGTAATTAAGTGACGAGCTGAGTCGATTTAGCCATGTCCGTCTGTCCATCTGAAATTTTGCATACGTCGTTTTCTCCCCAAGAAGCGGCTGCTGAAGCCGTTACAACAAAAACAACAACAATCAGTATAGCATATATACCATACAAACTGACCGATCATAATCAAGTTCTTGAATGGAAAACCTTTTTATTTGACGAGATATCTTCATGAAAACTTACTTCAATTATTATGCAAGGGTAACGATATAATTTCCGAGCATTTTTTTTTAGATTGGACCATTGTAGTATATACATGCCTAGCTGCCATACACACTTACCGATCAAAATCAATTTCTTGTCAGTAATCTTTTGTATTTGTGAAGGGTATTATAGCAGTGCAACTGAAGTTAACTTTTTTTATTGTTTTTATCTTAAATTATTTTAATTTAGCTTGTACGGCAATATCCCCAATTTATAATATAAATTATATTCATATTAATTTTTTATTTATTAAACAGAGTCCCAATGCAAAGGTGAGTTAACCCTATATAATTTATCTATTTCTTTGATTTTACAAAAATATCTTACAAACAACAATTTAGAAATATATTTTATACACTCCATAACCTTCTTTTATATTTTGTTTTTATAAAAATTGTATTTTCTTTTATAAAATTTAATTTTTTTCGTCTTTTAATATACAATTATTCAATTTTATTTATTACACAGCATTTTTGTATAAAAAAATTTATATTAATAAAATTACAATACTTTCAGCTCTCCGAAATGGTGAATCTTCATTTTCTTAGCCTTCTCGAAGCTCTCAAGGAAACTAATTCAACAATTTTAGGCAAACTTTTGCCGCTATGGAGTCCTGTCTTGTCCTCACAAACACAGGTGAGCAATGTTTTTTAACAAAAATAAATTTGTTCTCACAAAAATGTATCACACACAACTTCAATTTGACAGCTGTCTAAAACGCTACACGTACGATTGCAAAATGTACGCGATAATGCGCCCGACTATGAGGAGCAACAAACACACCCTTCGGACGCTTTGCTCAAATGGCTGCAACGGCTGCAATTTAAAATGGGTCAAATCGAGCTCCAAGCCTCAACAGCAACGCAATTTTATTCCATCTAAAATATATACCAACTATGTGTTATATTAGAAATTCTATAGTATTGTATACTTTATTGAGACCAGAGCCCAGCTTTTAACAATACATACATATATAAGTAGAAAAATATTAATTGTGTTTGCTTAAAAGCTGCACCTTAAAGTCTTAATAACTTAAGCGAAATCTTAAATGTTACATAACTTAATTACTTAGTGTCTACATACATACATAGTTGTGTTGTTGAATGTTGAACCTTGAAACTTCGTTTACAAAGAAGAGATTAATAAATTAACGTTCAAATTATATAGATGCTATTATTATTTATAGTGAGGCAACTAATTGTAGATCGTATATGTAACACCGCCACCAGACTTTTCCTCATCTAGTGGATCATGTACCTCATCGTCTTCGTTGAACTTTTGTTCACCTTCGATATGCACCGATGGTGTACGATATGTAGTGAAAGCAGCTTTAGATTTCAGCTCTTCCTTTGTAGGCAGTTTCAGGTCACGTTGTTCAAGACGCGCTATACGTGCAGCCAAACGTTCCTCGGCTTGTTTTTCCTGCAAAGCCTATAAAAGATTTAAGTCGTGGTTTGATAAAGTACGTATAATAAAAGACAAAATTGTACGTACTTTTAATTTTGCCAAATAACCGACTTGTAACTCCACCGAATCGAGTAATGTCAGCATCTTTGCGCCACTGTGTTGTATAAGAGGTGGTGTTGCAGCAGTAATTTCCCAATACTTGCCCTTTTTTCGTAGGCGCTCCTTTGCTGGATCGTGCACATCTGACACAGTGGTTTTGTAAGGTTTGAACTTTTCGCGGTGTGGCGCTACTTGCAACTCCGTTTTCGCAACAAGATAGCGTACATGTTCCTCCACCTCCGTTAGTGCCGGCGTGCTATAGAAACCATCTTTACTAATTGAGCTTACTTTTGAAGATAGAGTTTTGTCATTAATGTGCTGTATATTTAATATTATATGTGGTAAGTTATCGCCGACATCTATTTCAACAATTTTGGCATCTACAACTCTATTTGCTTCAAGATCTGTTTTGGTTTTTTCTTTGAGTGCTTTATCTGTTTCAGTGAAATTCGTTTTCGGACACGTTGAAACTAAATTTTCAGATTCTGCTTTAAAAGATTCGATCTCAGCTAAATCAGCTTCTGTTATTAACATAGGCTCGGGTGGTAGTATTTTTGTGCGTCGTTCGTGCATTGTACGTTGGGCAATCACGCGCAATGGATCTAACTCTACTTCGTCATCGCTATCTAGTATATCGTCTGTTGGATTAACATTGTGTTCACCATTTAAGTGGCCGTTCCACTCCAAACTGTTGAGTACATCTTCCCCTTTAGAAGCTATATTTAACTCTGAGAACATGTTTGCCGCTTCATCAATATTATTTCGTCGGTCAAGTTCTTCAATTACTTTGTTGTAGAAATCTGCTATGCGTTTTCCTTTATCTGGCAGTCGTTTTAAATTAGTTCTGTAAAAATAGTAAATTTTGATCTCTCATTGTATGTATACAATTTTTGTACTTACTTATTTACCAGTAATTTGCCTTGTCGCTCCTTCAGATCTAACAATTCCAAACGCGAAAGTTTCTGCAGATCTTTAACTGAATTATCTTGTTTAATAGTCGGTGCAATGGCGGGTATTCTATTCATAGGTGGGCGACTTATTGTAGCCATTTTATATAAATTTTTAATTCGAAAATTATATTCTTTTAAAGCACAAAAAATTTAATTTACAGCAAATACTGCAATTTATCATGTATGAGAAGTGTTTTCATAAAACCGTGATAGAATGTAAACAGCTGGTCGTAGTGATGCTGCCAATATGCTTATTTAATTTTTGTGTTAATTCATCATCATCAATTACTATAAAATAATTTATAAAAGAAAATTGATATTGAAGTATTAAAAATTTCGCAGTAACTATTAGTCCAGGTACTGTACAAATAATATATAATTAGTCATCCGGTTAAATTCGTTGGACCGGTCAAATTCGTTTTTTTTTTTTTTTTTTTAACGAATGAACCGGATAATTAGCAGGTATTTTTCTGTGTTTACTAGGCCGGTAATTTTTTTTAAGGGCCTTATTTAACGGGCGAATAGCAGAAAGGAGTTTGATTGAATTATGAAATATTGTAACCGGATAAATAATTACAAATTATTCGTACGGTAACCGGATAAATAAATAAAAATTATTCGTACAGTAACCGGATGAATAGAGTCAGCCTAAAAATTTAAACTATAATACAATAATATTGAAAGTTATTGTTTGTCTTTGTTTCATACACAGATGTACATATGTAAGTAAACAGTAAATAAATTAAAATTTGCAAATCGTATGTAAATTCTTATTAGAATCTTTCTGTCTATAAAATTGAGACATTTGTGTTGGTTAAATTGCATCAGCTGCACTTTAAATTTTGACATTTGCCACATTGCCTTGTCCAATTGCTGGAGTGCAAATATTTATAACTTTTAGCAATTTCATCAACTTTTTAACAAATTTTAATCAACTAAAGGTAAATAAATCACTAAATATATTTTATGCAGGTAAACTAACAGCACGTTGTTTGTATCCTTAAATAGAAAAATGACAGGTCAAGAATTGCTAACACAATTCCAGTCGCTTGGCATGAGCGAACAAAAAGCCAAAGAAACACTAAAGAATGCGAATGTGACAAAAAATTTGCAACTTGCACTAGCTGAAGTGAAGGGTGCTCCACTCGGCGAAGGTGTTGGTATGTTGCTTTATCACATGGCTAGTAAAATTAAGCCGCAAATCGCTCATGAATTGCCATTAGTCACCCGATACATTGTTGACCGCAAATTAGATACTACTTTGAGAGTGGAGGCAGCACTTGAATATTTATTGAAAAATGTTCAGAAGAAAGGAGCGTCTGTTAATCTAAAAGAATTTTTTGAGTTTTGTGGAGTAGGTGTGGTTGTAACTCCGGAAGAGATTGAACGTGTAGTGCAAGAGCAAATAAAATTGTGCAAGGATACCCTGCTGGAGCAGCGTTATCACTTCAATGCATTTAAAATTATGCAAGAAGTGCGTGCACAACTCAAATGGGCTGATGCGAAATCTGTCAAAGCCGCGATTGATGTGGAGATATTTGATTTACTCGGTCCAAAGACTGAGGAAGACCTGAAACCACCAACAAAAACTGAAAAGAAGAAAGAAAAAACAAATTCGGCTACTGTGACGAAGACAAGCAATGGACCGACATCAAATTCAGGAAATGATACGGAAAATAGTGATGGCGCGAATACTATTGCTGAACTAATGAAAACAAAAGTACATTTTCATGCACCCGGTGAAAATTATAAAACTGATGGTTATGTGGTAACAGAGCACACTGAACGGCTTTTGAAGGAACACCTAAGAAAGACGGGTGGTCGCGTACAAACACGTTTTCCACCCGAACCTAACGGTATTCTTCATATTGGCCACGCAAAAGCCATTAACATCAATTTCGGCTATGCAGCTTCGAAAGGTGGCATTTGCTACCTACGTTATGATGATACAAACCCTGAAAAAGAAGAAGAGAAGTTCTTTGTCAGCATACGCGACATGGTTGAATGGCTGGGCTATAAGCCTTACAAAGTGACGTACTCTTCAGACAACTTCCAACAGCTGTACGACTGGGCAGTAGTGCTTATACACAAAGGGTTGGCATATGTATGCCACCAGACAGCAGATGAAATGAAGGGATTTACCCCAAAGCCTAGTCCATGGCGTGAACGTCCCATTGAAGAATCATTGCAGTTATTCGAGGATATGAAAAATGGAAAAATTGATGAAGGTGCAGCAACACTACGCTTAAAACTAACCTTAGAAGAAGGTAAAATGGATCCAGTTGCTTATCGCATTAAATTTATACCTCATCACCGTACTGGAAATGACTGGTGAGTCTATTCACTTTCGAACTTATTATTTAAAGATACTATACATTTTCTCATTGATCTCATAGGTGCATTTATCCAACATATGACTACACTCACTGCCTATGTGATTCTATCGAAAACATTACTCACTCGCTTTGTACCAAGGAGTTCCAATCAAGACGTTCTTCTTATTATTGGCTTTGTAATGCGCTGGAAATATATTGTCCAGTTCAATGGGAGTACGGACGCCTTAACATGAACTACGCACTTGTATCAAAGCGCAAAATAGCTAAACTCATTACCGAACGTATCGTCAATGATTGGGATGATCCACGGTTGTTCACCCTGACTGCACTACGTCGTCGTGGCTTTCCCTCGGAAGCGATCAATAACTTTTGTGCTCAAATGGGCGTCACTGGCGCTCAGATATCAGTTGATCCTAGTATGCTGGAGGCGTCAGTGCGAGATGTGCTTAATATAAGTGCACCGCGAAGACTTGTGGTGCTGGAGCCACTTAAAATAACTCTCACAAATTTCCCATATGAAAAATCCATTGAAATAGAGGTACCTAACTTTCCGCAAAACCCTGAATTAGGAAGCCACCGGATAGTGTTGGATCGTGTAATTTATATAGAAAGAAGTGATTTCAAAGAGGAGCTTGAAAACGGTTACCGCCGCCTGTCTTTGAATCAATCTGTTGGCCTGAGACATGCCGGTTTGGTTATATCAGTTAAAGAGGTGAAGCGTGATCCGCAAACTGGAGCCGTGCTTGAACTTATTTGCGATTGCATAGCTGCCGAAAAGGCAGAAAAACCAAAGGCATTTATACAATGGGTTTCTCAACCTGTGAAATTGGAAGTAAGGCTTTACGAACTCCTTTTCAAGCATAAGAACCCAGAAGACTCAAATGAAGTACCTGGTGGGTTCCTTTCTGATATAAATCAAGATTCTTTGACTGTGTTGAAAGCATATGCTGATCGAGCTTTGTCTAGCGTGAAGGTGTACGACAAATTTCAATTTGAACGAATTGGATTCTTCTCAGTAGATCCTGATACTACAAAAGACCGTATTGTTTTTAATCGTACAGTGGGTTTGAAGGAAGATGCTGGCAAGAAATGATAAGCAAACTTAACAAGTCTTCAATAAAGTCGTGAAGCTTTTAAAAAATAGAAAAACCACTTGAAAACTTGAACGCATATTGTTGTTGTTGTTGTAGTTTAGTTTTTTTATTACAAAATCTATATAAGCTTACAGCATAAATTTTCTTTTATTTCTTTCCCTCCACCATAATGATGTGATACCCGAATTTCGTCTTTATGGGAGGATCTGTATACACCGGGTTGTTTACATTCGATATGGGCAAAGCGAAAGCCGCATCTTGAAAAGGTCCCACCATGGCACCACGAATTTGCCATCCTAAGTCGCCACCTTGTCGCGCCTTATCTTCACTGTAAGCGGTCGCTACTTCGGGGAATTTTTGACCAGCTTTTAGTTTTTCTAAGGCTTCTAATATTTTTCCTTGTTTTTCACACAAAATATGCCGCACTTTTACTGCATTTCCGCCTTTCTTTTCCTTCCCTGTGTAACGTTATATTATAACTAGCAAATAATTGAAATATAATGTATAAATACACCTTTGTCATCACCGGATGCGCCACCGCCTTTTTTGCTTCCTGATCCTTTGTTATCCTTGCCGCCCTTTGCATCCTTTTTTGGTGGCATTTTACAAATTGTTTATTTCTATACAGCTGACGATTATTAAAAAGAAGAAACTTGTAAATTGTAGGCTTAATCTTCTTGTTGACAGCTGACTTCGAACTAAGTTGCCATATTACGAAAAATATATATAGTTTAATGCAGCGAGAATCCTATTCAAAAATTAATCTACAAAGTGATAATAGCATTAATAGAAGCTGCAACAAATATATTTCTATTATTTCTTGAACACTTTAGATATGCAAATTATTAAAAATAGTAAAAGTCAGAAAAATTACCAATCAAGGTTTAACAATAAAACAATATTCTTTCCAACGTCTATGTACAGGCTTAAAGCTACATTGACGGCATGCTCTGCCTGTCAAATTTTATTTGGAAACACGTTCTTTTCGGTATATGTTAGTCTCTTATTTTTTAATTTCAATTAAGAAATTTGAAAGATGGGTACAACAAAAAAATTAGAAATCGATTTAATTCCTGAGGATTTGGAATTCGGAGTGTTCTCCAATGATGAAATAAAGAGGCTTAGTGTTGTTAAAATTATTACTGGTTTAACATTTGATCCTCTTGGCCATCCTTTGCCCGGAGGCTTATATGACAACTTAATGGGTACATATGGTCGACGAATGGAACCATGTGGTACTTGTTATAACATGCAGGCATGTCCTGGACATATGGGCCATATTGAGTTAAACGCACTAGTGTTTAATCCTTTCTTTATAAAACTAGTACAGAAAATGTTAAGTATTTTTTGCTTAAACTGTTTCAAGATACAACTGAAAGGTATGTATATTCATTAACAAGCAATTTCAAAATATTTTAATTTGAATATTGAAATTTTCTTTGCAGCTCATGTTTGTGAAGTGCTGACTTTGCAATTACGGCTCGTAGACGCGGGGTATATTGTTGAAGCACAAGAACTTGAAATATTTAAATCGGAGATAGTGTGTCAAAACGAAGAGCGTTTGGTGAAGACTGAAGATGGAAAATACATACATCCTCGGATAGCGGCAATGTTTGAGCTGTTAAAGAAAGGTATAATAAAATATATTTTTTTATCTAGAGTATACAATATATTTATGTCTTTAAATCATAGGAGAGTCTAATGCGTGTAACAATACAAAAACTTCATGTGGAATACGTTCGGCTCTGGTTCATGCTGCTCTTCAACGTGTCCCTTTTAAAAAATGTATACATTGCGAAAAACCCTTGCGCAACATTCGTTATTTGTATCGAAAACTAGTTTACTACATTACAGCAGCGGAAATGAAAATTTCGTAAGCAATATTTATATTATTTTTATTAAAATCCAATAATTTTATTTTTGAAAAACGTCTATTTAGTATGCCGGAAACACAACAGACAATGGGTCAAAACAAATCAATTTTCGCTGATGAATGCCGAAAGTTTCTGAGACAAATATATGAAAACTATCCGGATTTGTTAAAACTGTTATTTCCTCTACTGAAATTAAATGCAAGTGGAAATGAATCGCCCGTTGATATCTTTTTCATGGATACTATACCAGTAATACCGCCTAAAGCGCGTCCGCCCAATATATTACATAATCAGATTGTGGAACATCCACAAACAGGAATTTATAGAGCTATAATTGAAAACAATTCAGTTCTACGAGTGGTCATGAAACATATTAAAGGGCTGCGAGAGGAGCTTACAGAGGAGGCACAACGTGTATATGAAACCACACGAGGCAAATCATCTTATGAGAAATTATACAATGCTTGGCAAACGCTACAAACTTCGGTGGATTTATTATTGGACATAACAGCTAGCAGAGATTCTCCATCGAATCAAGGGCTTAAACAAGTTTTAGAGAAAAAAGAGGGCTTAATACGAAAACATATGATGGGTAAGCGCGTTAACTATGCAGCGCGTACTGTTATTACGCCCGATCCAAATATCAACGTTGAAGAAGTCGGCATACCAGATATTTTTGCTCGCAAGTTAAGCTATCCTGTGCCAGTAACACCATGGAACGTCACTGAACTGCGAAAAATGGTTATGAACGGTCCCGACATTCACCCTGGGTAAGTAAAATAATTTAATATTTAGATTCAGCGTCAATAAGTTCTTAATTTTTCTACCAGCGCAAATTATATACAAGATGAGAAAGGCTACACAACGCTCATACCAGCAGATAATGCAGCAAAGCGTGAGAGCATGGCAAAACTACTATTCAATTATCCTGAAAATGGTATTAAAGTCGTGCACCGGCACGTTCTTAATGGTGATGTGCTCCTGCTCAATCGACAGCCATCGCTACATCGACCATCAATAATGGCACATAAGGCACGAATTTTGCCTGGCGAAAAGACATTTCGGCTACACTATTCCAATTGTAAAGCGTACAACGCTGATTTCGATGGCGATGAAATGAATGCGCATTTCCCACAAAGTGAAGTAGCAAGAGCAGAGGCTTATAATTTGGGTATGGGAGAGGAAACTATTTGATTACCGTTAATGATATATTTGTTGCTACTAAACTCAATTTCAAAAACTCATTTGTTTTACAGTTAATGTGGCAAGTAATTATTTGGTTCCTAAAGACGGCACACCTTTGGGCGGCTTAATTCAGGATCATGTTATATCTGGCGTAAAATTGTCAATTCGTGGACGTTTTTTCAATAGAGAAGACTATCAGCAACTGGTGTATCAAGGCCTCTCACATTTACGCGAAAAAATTAAATTGCTACCACCAACAATACTTAAACCGACGGTACTTTGGTCTGGAAAACAGGTAAGCTTTTTTCTTTGTTGTTGTTAAGACTGAAATGAATCGAAAGTGCTAGCAATTTGTAATCTATACAAAAACTTGATTTAATGCGTTCAGTTTGTATGGCAGCTATATGCTAGAGTGGTTCGATCTCAACAATTTCTACGGAAATTGTAGAGCTACCTTGAACAATAATATATGCTAAATTTTGTAAAGATATCTTCTCTAATAAAAAAGTTTTCCATACAAGAATGCGATTTTGATAGATTAGTTTGTATGGCAGTTATACACCATATTGGTCAGATCTGAACAATTTCTTCGAATATTGTAACTTTGTTTTAGACAATACTCTATGCGAAATTTCGTGAAGATATCTTGTCAAATAGAAAAGTTTTCCATACAAGAACATGATTTTGATCATTCAGTTTGTATGGCAACTATATGCTTTAGTGGTGCGACATCGGCGATTCCGAAAAACGAGCAGTTTCTTGGAGGGACAAGAATGTGTCCAAAATTTCAGACCGATATCCCAAAAACTGAGGGACTAGTTCGCGTATATACAGACAGACGGACATGGTTACATAGACACAGCTTGTCATTTATATATACACTTAATAGGGTCTCCGACGTTTCCTTCTAGATGTTACAAATAATATATTATACTTTGTTAAGGGTATAAATATGTATGCTACTGCTAGTACAACAACAACAAATAAAATCAAGAATTATCTTATTTATTGCTAAACAATTTTGTTTACTTAGGTCCTTTCGACAATAATTATTAACTTGATACCGGAAGGCTACTCACGCATCAATCTACATACACAAGCTAAAATCAATTCAAAGGTAAGCAAAATATATGAAGCAATCCTAAGCATTGCATACAATCGAAATATTATTACTTTTTAATCATATAAGCAATGGATCGTATCACCAGCACACGAAGCTGCTTGTGCACCCCTGGGCGGCAGCGATTTATGTGAAAGCAATGTTATAATTCATAAAGGCGAACTGCTTACCGGCGTACTCGATAAACAACAATACGGCGCAACAACCTACGGTTTAATTCATTGCATGTATGAGGTAGGTGTGACTGCTATAGGCACATATATAAAATGTACTGAACTCAATAATTTTGACAGTTGTATGGCGGTGAGGTCTCCACCTGCTTGCTGACGGCGTTTACGAAATTGTTTACAACATTTTTGCAACGAGAAGGATTTACGCTGGGTGTACAAGATATATTGGTTACAGCCGAGGCGGACGCACAAAGGCAAAAAATAGTTAAGGAATCACGCAAGGTGAGTGCATTTGCTTTGGAGGTGAAAACAACAGTCATACCCATTTTTTTTTTAATAAGTATAGGTTGGTGACGCTGCAGTTGCTGCTGCATTAGAGTTGGATGAGATACCATCGCTTGATGTGCTTGTTGAAAAAATGGATGAGGCGTATGCAAAAGATGCCAAATTCCGTGTTATCTTAGATCGCAAATATAAATCGGCACTCGATGGTTATACCAACGATATAAATCGTACTTGCTTACCCGGTGGCCTCATATCCAAATTTCCACAAAACAATTTACAATTAATGGTGCTCTCCGGCGCAAAGGGATCTATGGTGAACACTATGCAGATATCATGTTTGTTGGGACAAATTGAATTGGAGGGTAAACGTCCACCACTCATGATATCTGGCAAGTCATTGCCGAGCTTCACATCCTTTGAGACGTCACCGAAATCGGGTGGATTCATTGACGGCCGTTTCATGACCGGCATACAGCCACAAGATTTCTTCTTCCATTGCATGGCGGGTCGTGAAGGTCTTATTGATACTGCTGTGAAAACATCGCGTTCGGGCTACTTGCAACGTTGTCTGATCAAACATCTCGAAGGACTTAGTGTTGGCTATGACATGACTGTGCGCGATAGCGACAACAGCGTTGTACAATATCTATATGGCGAAGATGGATTAGACATACTCAAATCAAAGTTTTTCAATACTAATTTCTGCATGCAATTTTTGGCGCTCAATTACACAGCAATCATTCATTCAAACGAGCTGAAAAACATCAAAGACGAACAGACACTCAACAAGATTGCACGACATGTGAAGAAAATACGAAAATGGCACAATAAACGCGAAGAAAGAAACATAACGCATGAAACGAATAGAATACAGTCGGCCTTCACCGATTTCTCAGCCGATGCACCAACCAAAGCGAATGCACTTGAGGTGAACCCCAAAAACGGACGCAGCATGGATTATGCATACAAACGAAAGCTTTGGCGTAAAGCTGATGTCGAAACGAAAGAACAATATGAAAAGTCAAGCGCGCGTTGTCCCGATCCCACAACATCTCTTTACAGACAGGATAATTGCTACGGAAGTATTTCTGAGCGTCTAGAGAAAATCGTCGATGAATATATGAAAAAGTATCCAAATAGTAAAGCGGCAATTGACGACATAATATACTTGAAAAACATAAAAGCATTGGTGTCGCCGGGCGAGCCAGTCGGCTTATTAGCCGCCCAGTCAATTGGTGAACCTTCGACGCAGATGACACTGAACACTTTCCATTTCGCCGGTCGTGGTGAAATGAACGTCACGCTCGGTATACCGCGTCTGCGTGAAATTCTCATGTTAGCGTCGGCTAATATCAAAACCCCTTCGATGGATATACCAATAAAACCGAGTGAGGTTAAAAGAGCCAATAAACTGCGTATTAAACTGAATCGCGTTACTTTAGCGGATATATTGCAATGTAAGCTTAACATAAAAAAGGCTACGCGAAAAAGGTGTATAAATATATTTATTTATTTCAGTTGTTAATGTGAAAACTAAACTGGTTCTTAAGCCTGAGCGCGCATACCAATACAAGCTACGCTTCCAATTCCTGCCACATGAAGCTTATCAGAACGATCTCTGCGTGCGACCAAAGAAGGTGCTAAAATATATGGGTGAGGTGTTCTTCAAGCTATTGTTCCGTTCCGTTATAAAGTCTTCAAAAAGCAAATCATCTATGTAAGTTGCTGATATACAATGCATATATAGTATATATTAAAGTGCATATGTTTTTAGCATTGATATAAATGAAGAAAAAGATGGCGGAGATAAAAATTTAGATGAAGATGAATCTAGAAATGAAATAGGTGGCCAATCCAAGAGAGGAAAAACAACGAGTGCTATCGAAGTAGATTCGTCGGATGATGAACAAGCTGTAATATAAAACCCACATTAATATATACGAGTTATGTACATTAACATATTTGCCGTATTATTTTCAGAATGATGATGATGACGCAACTGGTCGTAAATTTAAAACGCGTAAGCAAGATGAAACTGAGTATGACGATCCCGAAGTTTTGGAGGAAATTAAAGATGCTGATGATGACGATGAAATGGGTGATGCAGAAAATGATGACGACGTTAATGAAGATGTAGGAAAAACCGATGCAGGTGATGCTATGGTGGAAAAAGTGCTCAGCAATGAGATGGTTCAAGAATATTCATATGACAAGGAGCTGCATCAGTGGTGCAAACTTACGTTTCATGTAAGTATATTTACTACAACAACAGTACGAAATATATTTATATAATTATTCTGATGAAAATTTTAGCTAAACATGAAATACAAAAAGCCTGATATATCATCGATTATACGAGAATTGGCTGGTAAATGCGTTGTGCATCAAGTGCAAAATATTAAGCGTGCTATCATTTATAAAGGCGACAATAATACGCAATTATTGAAAACCGACGGCATAAATATTGTTGAGATATTCAAGTACAATGATATTTTAGAATTAAATCGCCTTTATTCCAACGATATACACGCTATTGCCAAAACATATGGCATTGAAGCAACGGCGCAGGTCATAATTAAGGAAGTGACAAACGTTTTCAAAGTTTATGGCATCACAGTGGATAGACGACATCTCTCATTAATTGCCGATTATATGACGTTTGATGGTAGCTTCCAACCGCTTTCACGTAAAGGCATGGAACACTCCTCCTCACCATTGCAACAAATGTCATTCGAATCCTGTTTGCAGTTTTTGAAAAATGCTGCTGGCAGTGGACGTGCTGATGAGCTGAGTTCACCGTCAAGTCGGTTGATGGTTGGCTTACCGGTACGAAATGGCACAGGTGCCTTTGAGTTATTAACAAAAATTTGTTAAAAATTACAACTACAGTGAAAAATTTATATAAAATCAATAAAACACCTACTTTGTAATATATACACTTGTTTAAGTAGTTTCCTTACGTTTTGCAAAGTCCTTATGTCGGCGTATTTCACAAAACTGCATACGTGCATGTTGGGAGAACTTTTTGCATTATAAATGGAGTTGGTTTTAATAGTGCGTAAAAAATTATTTCACAGAATCTTGTTTACATATTTACAAGTTGATATACAGCTTAATCTGATTCGTCAGAACTACTGAGATAATTCGACAATAATGAGAGTCCGCTATTCTTGGCATCAGCCGGTTTTTGACTATCTAATTTGGTTGTTGTTGTCGATGATGCTGTAGCAGCCTGATTAGTGGTAGTTTCTGTTACCGGGGAAGAAGTATTTGTAGTTTCCTTTGTTATAACAAGAGCAGTTGCTGCAGTTGGGTTTGATTTATTGATGACAAGTGGCGTTTTACGTTTTACGAGCGGCACAGAACTTGTAGATTTAAACTTAATGGCATTCGCTATAGTCGGCAGATGAGTTTTGGCTTTCTTGGCTTCTGTTGGTAAAATTTGTTCATCCTTGACATCTTCAATAATTTCTTCAGCCACAATTTTGCTTCCACTTTTGCTTGTTTTAAAATTTATAGACCTTTTAGGAAACAAATTTTGAATTATGGGTACAAAATTACAAAATATTACAAAACTTACTTCACCAATTCTTCATCTTCTCTTTCTTCGCGTTGTAATCTTTCTTGCTCCGATTCCGTGGTGTTGTATTGTTGCAGCATGGATTCGTAATCCACGTTGTGATGACGTCGATTCAAGTCCCGTAACTCTTCCAACGATTCAAGCGTTTCAATTTCGTTCCGCGATTGCTGTGTACGGTTTTCAAGCAACTTCATTGGATTATTCGCCTCTTCCTCACGTTCTTCCTCTAAGAGATGTGATTTAGTTGTAATGGAATTTATATACATTTATTTGAACTTGTGAGCTTACCTATCTGCCTACGAGCTTGTTCTTCGGCTAGTTTTAGAGCCATGAAATTTCTTGTAGCGCCTGCTTCAATTTCATAATCCGTGTTTTTTGGATCGGTTTTAAATGAAATTTCCTGTAGGCAACGTGTACACTTAATGTAAAAACGGTAAATACGTATTCCTAAATATGTTTCATTTTCAACATCCTCCTTTCGTGCATTGAACTTTTTTCCTTTATAGATATATTCTCCACAGGTCTTGCATCTCATGTTGAATGGTGCCATTAAACGTACGGTATATTGTCTGTTCTTAGCCAATTTCATACGAGGAATTTTTGACGGATCAAAGTCCGGAGGATAATATTTCTGTAAATAAATTAATTATTACTATAGCACGTTGTATATATTTTTTGGTTAATTCAACATACATTCAACACTTTTCGTTCCGACATTTTGCGGCGAGATTAAAACGTTATGAATGTACTCCAAATAATTCTAAATAAAATCACAGTTGTATTTTTACACTACAACTAATATTTTTGGTACAATTCTGTAAAAATAAAATAAATAACAAATGTGACAATGTTTATATTCAACTAAAAATATTTAGTGATGAGAGCCGGTAGTCGATAGTTGTGTAATGTAACTAATTTGTATTGGACGTTGCCGTACCATACAAATAATTACAATTAGGAGGGCCATCAAACAACAACTACAATAGTAAATATTGATGTTCCCTGCTTATATCCTTTCTTTTATTAACGAATTAATCAAAGTAACCGTAAAACTGTCGACTAACGATACAGTCATTTTGATATATAGAATAACTTTCATTTTTATGTTCAATTTGGAAAGCAGATAAATTATATCTAATATATATTTTAAGCAATTGTATTTGTTAAAATGTTTTATTTTATTTATTTTAAAGATTTTTATTTTATTTATTTTAAAGATCATTCTAATTAGAGTTTGAGTTGTTTGTACATACATTATAAATAAATAAATCAAAAGTCACATAAGTGATGTGATGCAGAGAATATAGATACATTCTCTGTGTGATGTTCAGTATAATGTGAATTTATTTGTACCGAATACAAAGTGCAGAGAATGTAAAATATTTATGAATATTTTATAAATCATTTGTTTGGTATTACTTTTTAGTAAAAGTTGCTGATCATTTTTCCTGAGAGGGGTTATTTTTTAAATTTTGGATAAACGGAATTAACATAAAATACAAAACTTAAAAAAGTAAATAGAACCTACCAGAGAATGTAAAATAATTCTGGTATGTTCTCTGCCTACTCTATCAATTTTTACAAACCATATGGCAAAAGATGTAGGGCGACATCTAGTTGACAATTTTCATTATAAATTTGATTAAAATAAGCATTGGCGCTTGGCAACGCTGTAGTGGCCGTGATTGTCGGAATCAATTTTTAATATTGTCGACGAGACGTGTGGTTTTTAGTAAGATAAATCAAGAATTGTTTAAAAATAGATAAAAAGGATAAGAAAAAGGTAAGTTTTGTACATAAGAATTAAGTGAATAATGCAGAGACATGTTGATGGATATATATATTAAGTTTTAAAAAGTTAAATTATTTCACCATTGAGATGAGACAGTGTAGTAGTCGTGATGACTGCAACATGGTTGGGTAGCTAGGTAGACAAAATGTCGACTATTGAGAAATTAATCAGATAAGTACTTAACATTCAGTATTAATAAAACGCAAACCAGGAATTATGAAATAATATTATTTGCCACATCGTTTACATGCATTTTGTAAAGATTTCGGTTTGCAGTGTATTTTTATTTCGGTATTGATTTTTTCTTTGCTTATATCCATCAGTGTTTTGGAATCGTATTTTAGCTCCTAAATGGACATTTAATGCAAGTAAATGCTAGTTTTAATTACGCATACGCAAGTAATATATTGGGTATATCATATACAAATGTGAAGGAACAAAGATGGAAATTCTAGTATGAAATACCAAAAGTTGAATTATTTGAGAAATCGAGGAAGGTGTATGCAACGACCAAACAGCCCCCATTTTGCTCTTTATCGTGCGTTCATAACGATCTGCAACGTAAACCTCCAGCGCAAATGGCGTGTCTTGGCTCCATGTGTGTCAAGTCCATGTGCCTGTTGTATTTAGTGTTCAGCTAGCTCGTGTTTGTTCGCATTTGCTTTTTGTTTCATTTTCGGTTCAGTTCGTCTGTGCTCTTTGTGAGACCAAAGTGTTTTCTCAATAATAACCGACATGGTTCGACTGCAATTCGTTTTTTATGGGTCACATTTAAGAACATAATTCATTAATATTTAATAAAAGTTAAAATTTTTTATTTTAATAGTTCGCAAGTGCAAGCAAAAGTTTGAATTTTAAAATTTTCAGGTTTTCAGGTATAATGCAAGAATGTTGTTTTTCACATATTTTTTAGAGATTCTTTTGCATGATTGAAATAATTTGTTTTTGGTTTCCAAATTTAACTACTACAAAATGAAGGGTATATGTTCTATATATATCTTAAATGAAATATGTATTGAATATGCCAACTTATCACTCTTTGGGTAATAAAAAAACAACATATTTACTGCATCAGATATCAAATTTGTAGAATAAAAGCACGATTGGAATAATATTTGTTAGTTTTAAATTTAATTTGTTTTAAGAGCTGAAATATATAATATGACAAACAATAGAAAATTAATTTCAAAATACTATTGTATATCACAAGGGTGTATATTGAATTGTATTCATTTGTACCGAAGCAACGTTATAACGTAGTGCCCTTATAAAACTTGATTTATCGGTCAGTATGTATGAGAGCTATATGATATAGTGGTCCTATCTCAACAATTTATTCGGAGATTGTAGTGTTGCTTCGACAAAAATCCTTGCTAAATTTCATGAAGATATATTGTTAAATAAAAATAGGTTTTCTCTACAAGACATGAGAAGCTTCTTGAGGAGAGAAGAATGTGTGTAAGATTTCAGATCGATATCTCAAAAATTGAGGGACTAATCTGCGAATATACAGACAAACGGATGGGCATGGCTTAATCGACTCATAACGACCCATGCTGATCATTTATGAACTTATTTTATAGAATACATATTCTTAATAATGCCTATAGTGGCAAAAATTTTATTAGAATACTTGTGATAAATAGTACGCATACATTTAAATATTTTCAAGCGCAATGAAACTACTATTTTACTAGAATACTGATTTACAACAAAAAAATATTGGCATTTTTATTTCTTCATAGTATATTATTAGTAAGATAGTGTGAAGAATATATTTCTTAAGTCTACAATTGCTATACAAAAAGTAGAATAAAAAGCGAGACATCAAAACAACTTTGAATTTTGTTTTTCTTCTTTTCGTTCTTCATCATGAAACACATATACAAATATGTATGGATCACAAAAAAGCCTACATAATTTGGCAAGTAAAAAAAGCAAATTTACACCATGAAGTTTCGTGCTTTGATGCAGGATCCTGAATACATGCGAGAATTTCTCTATATTATACAAACATTATCAAAATTGGCGAAAGCATGTGTAATGAAAATATCGATGGACAAAGTCTATTTTGTAGCCAATGAGGAATCCGGCAGTACTGCGCCATTAGTGTGGGTGGAAATTGATCCCAAGCAATATTTCGCTGAGTACACGATGCAAGGTGTCGACAGTGAAAATGATCCACATATTGTGCTAAATATACCGACAATGAATTTGGGTACTGCACTATCCTTACTGCGTAACAATCCTTCCTACTGTAAATTGAAGCTTACAAATTTACAGTTTCCTTGCTTAACAGTTGACATTGATGCGGCAACTAAAGGTTCAGATAAGTCGCGTCGCGCTATGCATCACGTACCTGTGGATGTGATACCACGCTGTGATTGGCCACATTACGCTGTGCCTACTATTCCAGAATGTAAGCTAGTATTAAATGTGCCATCCAACCGTTTAATACGTGGTTTAATTGATAAAATAAAAAATCTCTCGCCAACAATAATCTTTTACGCCACATCTGCCGGTGAGATGAATTTGGTTGCCGAAACGGATATGGCAACAATAACAACACGTTATCAAAATCTTGAATTACGCACCATAAATCCAGGTGATAGCGACAAGAACAGAGAGCAAATAGAGGCATCTTGTTCGGTGGACTGTAAGAAAACTGCATTATTTTTCTCGGCACTGCAAATACCATCAACAGAACTGTCATGTGGCATAGCTGACGATCGACTCATACATTTAGAAGTAAATGTACGCGATGGCGTTACCATTCACTCCAAATTGCCAGCTGTTTGTATATAAACATCAACCGACCAAGTTTATCAGAAATATAACAATAAATTCACAATTTTTTCCAACATTACACTAATCAATAATTTTTAATGTATTGGAAGCCAATCGATTTTTCGAAACAAATCCAGTGAAAGTAGTTCTTCCATTTTTTTTTGATAACTATTTTTTTTTATTTTTATTTTTTTTTTATTTTTATTACATTCACAACATTTTAAAGGCATATCCGAAAATGTTAAATATTATGTCCCGTAAAATAAGAATTATGAGTTTTTTCAAACATCTGTTGTGTTTAGAAATATTTGATAAATGTAGTGTAATGTAATGTATTATGGCAAATCAAATCCATAAATGTTTAAAAGTTCTTTTAGAATCCCAAAATATGTAATACTTACAACAGTGAAATCGCGAGAAAAACTTTTATTAGCTTTTCAAGCATTCGTTACATAAAAATTCTCTATCATGGCATTTGGGGAGTTTGCAGCTACGTCGAGATATTTAATGAGAACTTCACAACAGAGTCGGTGACATGTACTCAACCTTATTTAGCCACTGTCGTTGCCTTTATTATTTAAGTCGTCCTAATTTAAGCCCACGCAGTCGGTACCTTACTTGAAGATTAATCTTAATTACACTCCTATTTGAATGGGATGGTTGCCATTTCCAGTGCAGTTCAGTCCATGCTTGAGTAATAATATCAACTTTTAGTTCGGTTATCTAAGGACACATTCATTTTCACTCAAAACAAATTTATGCCGAGTATTGCACTCGTATCTTAGTCGGACCTATGTATATGTTTGCATCGTCATAATAATAAAAGATAATAAAAACCAAGTCAATACCAACAATGCACAGCAAAACTTGATTATGAGTTTTTCAACGATATCTCCATGAAAGCAACAATTCAACTCCTACCTACTAATGTATGAAAGAGTGCATACATACAAGTACAGTGAGCACTTAAACTCAAACACTCAAAGTTATAAATAATTTATAAAAAAAACTTTCAAATATAAAATAAAAAAAAAACAAAAACAAAGGAAAATCACTAAAACATCGTAAGTTTTTGCTAAAATCTATAAAAATATATATATATATATATATATATATATGAAATATATAATGCTAGAAGGAATAACTTCAGACACCTATTTATTAAAAATTAACCAGAAATCCTATTAAAAGTTAGATCAATGTGATGAAAATTAAAACACGAAATTATTAACACAAATTTCTCTGAAGGAATGTGCCGCATCCTTAACTTCGCTACCTAATCGCTTCTGACATTGATTTTTTATTTGCACCGTTGTCTTGGACCATCCATAACAAATTTCTCGTCAAATAAAAAAGTTTCGCATACAAGCACTTGTTTTCGATTGTTCAGTTTGTATGGCTGCTA